ATTTCCGTTGATCTCACACATTTTCCACACCCCCAGCCCTATTGCAGGGGAAGAGCGTATATTCCTAACCCTAGATTTGTCTGTCTCCTCGTCTTTGCCCAAATTTGATACATGTCGCATCCCAGAGTGCCATAATAAGAACTGAAGGCGCCAAGAAAACATTGATATCCCGACAACGAACCGTTCCACGCTACTAACGTCCCCCGCATAACAGACATCCTATATATATCCATATCAACCCTCTAAGCCACCTATGTGCAAGGTAAGTTACGCGCCGGTCCAAGAAAAGCCCCATCCAGACCCGCAGTCCGTGATATAGCGCAATGCGGGCCGCAACTAGTGCAGTGACAACGGGGACACTCACCAGCGCAGCAGCGCTTACGCGCCCGCACTAGCCTTGTGTGTTTCATACCCCGACAAGATTAAAACCATGGTCATAGTGTTCTTGATATCATTAGTGGGCGTTCTATTATTGTCATGGGGGAAGCATGGGGGCTCTGTACTTCGCTCTAAATCGAGTGAGGATCGGCAAAAGATGCCCATCGATAGCGCAGGATGATGGAGGGGTCTTTTCTTTAAGAGAGCGCGCCTTCGGCCATGCTGGAGAGTATTCTCTGAGTGCTGTTTTATGATCTATTTTATTACGAATTGATGTGTTGATGTTGATGATTTATGATGTTTTCTATGATTCTTTCTATACTGTTTTTACTATCTTTGTTACCTCTTGTCAAGGCTGATGATGACTGGGATGATTTCACAAATAATCTTGCTACGGACTTGGTATGTTTATGTTTATATTGTCTGAATGAGGCCTCAAGTGGATGTGCTGATGTTTATCTTCAAGGCTCCTTTGATCACCTTGTTCGGCGAACGACTTACGAAACAATTCCTCTCCGAGTCCATCAGCACTCTTGATAATGTCATCTTCGCCCTTTCACCACTAGGGGTTTTGACTGCCGTCGTGTCGGTGATCAGGGTCTGTGGAAGTTCTTCCCTTAGGGCATTTGTCGGACGAGCACAAGAAGGTCCTGCTGAAGCTGAAAGCGAGCTGCTTCCTTGTGTCTCAGAATCCACTGCGGAGGTCTTCAACGATGGCGGCATTACACGAGTCTTTGGCCGGCCCAAGATCGTGGAGATAGTTGCTTGGGAGGATGTAGACAAGACCACCGGAGAAAAGGAGACGAAGATTGGCACTTTGAGAGATGCTCTTGAAGAAAAGGCTTGGTCTTGCAATAGCAAAGTTTCACCTACTGAATTGCCTGAGCTGGACATGCCTAATCTGTCATTGAACAAGGGAATCAAAAGGAGAGATCAATTTTGGTTTCATTGTGCTGCAATACTTGGTGGTATACTGCAGACTGGTCAGTGCTTCTCCTCCCTTGAGCCTGAAATGATGCTGACGATCCAAAAAGGCACTGTTGTTTTTGCTACACTCACGGTGTTTGTGTATCCTCAGGATTTCCAGAAAAACGATAAAGCTGTCGCTTCATACGCATTCCCGCTCTATATAATCGGGACAACCCTTCTGTTTCTCGGAATGTTCTTCTGCGCATTCATTATGGAACGTTCCTCAAAGGAGTTCTATCTCAAGGCAGAAAAGCCAAGCAAGATATACTGGCTGCAGCCCGGTAATCAAGACGTGGGTGACCAGGTCTTCAATGCTTTCTTGGCTGTCAATGAAGGGCCCGAGTCTTCAATGACGGACAAACTCCGCTATACCAAATCGATCAGAGATCGAAGATTTGACAGGAAGTATTTGGAGACTTACTCTACCCTCATATCGACAATTTTGGGATTCATATGTCAGTTCGTCGGACTGAGAGGTCTCCATTCATCTGTCACCCTAGCCCAACTGGGATCAACATTCCTAATGGCTATTATACGTACCTGTCTGCGCACGGAAAGGATGAAGCCAGATGAAAATAAGATGAAAGACGACCGGGAACTCACGTCTCACAAGCAGCAAGAGATAGATTGTTTTGCATTTTATCTTGAGCAAGTAGAGTCATTTGAACTCGCCTCGATCCCAGATCGGCCACCAAATATGCCCTCACCGAGACTCATGCCCCATCTTGGAACACCTTTGGCCAAACAATTAATCCGCACCAGAACTCAGCTCGCGAGGCTCACGACTAGCTCAAGACAAAGCCTGGGCGTTGATTGGAATGGAATGCCTATTCGCCGAATTGCCTCCAACCTCGCAGAGACGATCGAGTCGACGATGGATCTAATGTCGAGTTGGGGAGTTAACCTCGGAAAGACCTTTGAGTTCCGACTTGGCTTTAAGTGCAAGGGAGCCTCTCCAGGCTCTGTCACTGAAGCTCCGGGAACGTATTCAATTGGTCTCATCCGAAGCGGCGATGCTCTGCAGTGGAAACTGGATGTCGCCGAGCTAGAAGCCATTCTTGGCTTGTGGACTTGGTCACTTTATAAGTCAGATGAAAACTGGCAGAACTCAACTCTTTGCCGCCTCATTGGATTGAGTGAAGATGAGGCAAAAAGAGATGAAACATTCCTCTACTTTTACAAATGGATCTTCAGGCAAACGGAAGCGAGACTAGTACCATCTGAAGGATATGATAATTCATCACGCCTGTTCAGTTTCGAGCCCAAGAGCCTTCCCTACGATGGGAAAGTCCTGGCTGTCAGGACAGATAATGAGCTCGAGGCTATGGTAGCCCAGGATATCTACATTCAATTCCTCAAGGAGGTGTTCCTCAACTTGGATGATCTGGGCGGGGACGTTGATGTTATTCCCGAATTGCAAAACTCATTTTTAGCATCTAGTACCCGCATTGATGATCTCATACGTTGCTTTGAGAACAGCAAATTGGGCTCAAGAGAGGATGCATTGCTATGCATTGTTCCCGTCCTCAGGTATCGCCATCTATTACCAGATCTCGCGGCAGACTCGACCAAGGTCAGGGCGCGCAGGGAGCGGTTGATCGAGAAAGGTGATTGGAAAGGTGCCTTTACGCTTGTCCGTTGGATTTGCCAGCGATCAGAGGATTCCCAGTTTGAGAGATCAGTCCATGAACTGGGGTTCCTTTGCCGCCGGGCACTTTCGGACAGCAACAAAGATGTTCGCAAAGTAGGATTCGAACAGACATGTGAGCTTCTCACGTCTGACATCAGAGCTGAATTTCTGCAAGCCCACAAGCATGTGCCACCCTTACAACAGTCCGTATCCGATGATCGTATCGAATGGTGGAACTCGTTCTCGCGTCAGCTTGGGTGGATCGCGTGGAACCTTTCCGCTAATGTTCCAGGAATGGAATACTGCAAACCCACCTTGAGATCACTGAATGTGACGGAAGATCTACAGGGGTCAAACGATCAAAACCAAGACCCAGACACAATCGAAGGGGCGATTCACGCTCTGAAAGATTGGCTGACGTTGTATAAGCTCGATGACATTGACCGCGAAGGAGACGGCGAGGATGAACAAGCATGCCTTGAATGGCTGGTCAGGAACAACTTCCATGCTTTATTGCATTTCCTTCTGCTGCGATGGGTGGAGCTTTATGAAGACCTTCCTATGCTTGTTAGGATGGGGTACAGTTTTGCAGCCCGGATTAGGTCTCAACGAGCACTTGGCATACTTCGCCGACAGGGCGCAGATATTGATATGATAGATCCAGACAATTGTTCCGCGTTAAGTGATCTCGTTTCTGCCCATGATCTCGAGGGAACTCGACTGCTACTGCAAAATGGAGCCGACCCAAACATTACAGCGCAACACTCGGGGATCAGTCCACTTACAATTGCTGCTCATGAAGGCCATGACGATATTGTCGCATTACTTCTACAGCACGGAGCAAACATCGATATTCTAGACGAGGTCGGCCACACTCCCCTACATTGGGCATGCGCAAATAATAATTTCGATACTGTCCGGCTGTTATTATCCCATGGCGCAGATATTGAGGGGTCTGGCCATAGAACACCGCTCCTATCAGTCGCCATGAAGAACCAGCTTCAGATGGCTGAGTTGCTGATCAAAGAAGGAGCGAACGTCAATGCTCGAGATGCCGAAGGCAGCAATGCACTTATACTCGCTACCCCTGCAATGAATCCGATTCCGATGCTCCAGTTGCTCGTGGATAACGGAGCCAGGATTGACTTGCGCGATGATGATGGAAGAACGGCTTTGGATTACGCCCTGCAAATCGGTTATACTAAGGCACTGTCCTTTCTACGCCAGGTATCAGAAGGGGGGACCAAGGAGCCGTGAGATATATATACCTTTAGTTCTGGGAATTTGTATGTAGCAGAAAAATTCAACATTGCTTTGTATCAATCTTGTCCATATTGCCTAATGGTTTCACATTGAACGTTACCATTTCGCATTACTCTTCCGTAACTATTCGGTATCGAGTTCGCTAATGCAAAGTGCTGATCAACCCCTCATATTTGCCCAGCCCTGGGCAAGGTTTCTGTCGCTCTTGGTACCTAGACTTACGGATTTACGGTCTATTGCATATATAATTCCGACGAATGAGCTATCCCCGGTAAATAGCATGCATAGGACACGCCTATCAACTCTCGCACATGCAACTTCTTTTTAGCGCCCGGTGGGGAAGATCGGTGGCACATAGTCACAGTTGCGTGTGACTCGAGACTGATTGACTGCGAGCTGCAAGCCTCATCACACGCCTAATCTCTTAGTGGAATTCCTCTCTAAGAATAGTAATAGTATGAGCTGTTGGTGAGGGGAAAAGCTAGCTCCCCTTTAAAAGAGAAAACCCCGTAGAGTCCGGTCTGATTTTATTTCCCTTGTTATTATTCCCTAAATCAAGCCAGGCCATTGAGATACCCATTATTCTTCCCATTGACGCAAAATAATACGGGAGGAACTACGAGTTTTTGCTGTGACGATATTGGTGAGTCTGACTTCCCTGGTGTCTTCAATCTGCCAGTGAACACTCGGATTGACTCTAAAAGTACTTTTTTGAGAGAATAAACAGACATTGGTGTTCAGCGACACCAAAATCACCACAATGTCTCAAGATTCAAACTATTATGCCCCACCACCCATGACAGGTGAGTGCCTTTACAAAGTTACAAACTACAGAAATCCGTTACTAACTAATTGTCTAGCTCCGGCGCATATAACCTGTAATTAATCCAATTCTTTTGTCTTTGCTATCTTACTAAATATTCTAGCATTTTCACAATCCCTTGCAGCTCCCTACTATCCACCCCCGCCAAAGCAGCCTTCAAATGGAGTATATACCCCAGCCACTCCACCGGCAGAGAGCCCCCAACCCCATCGACAAACCCCAAGTAGGGAATATGCAGCCCCTCCGACGTCCGCGAGCCCGCCCCAGGACCCAATCGCCTACAATCAAGCTGCTTTCAATTACAATAGCGCTATTGGAAGGCAGCCAGTGAGTCCGCCTCAGCAAGATCCAATCGCCTACAACCAAGCGGCTTTCGAACAAAATCATGCTATTGCAATGCAAACAGTGTCTGGAGGAACCCCAGAACATGCTTCAGAACATGGAGAACTCACTGGGACAGGTGGAATGAACCTGGATGATACTGGCGTCTTCAATGGTGGAAGTTACAGGATCAGCCACCGAGATAGCAACTCTGTCTTGACCGTACAACTGGCAATGGGCTGTCCTTTGAATATCAGACCTGGTAAGTTATCCAGTCCAACAATTCTTATACGCGGATATGCTGTAATCGATATCTTCGTTCAAAGCATGTATTGCCATAGAGCTAATCTTGCTTGCCTCTTAGGTGCCATGATTGGAATGTCTACAACGATCACATTGAGGGGAACCATCTCATTCTCATTGAAGAAACTCCTCATTGGGGGCAGCATGACTATGTCCCACTACATCGGTCCTGGTGAGCTCCTGCTGGCACCTTCCATGCTGGGAGATATTATAGCCCTCCACGTAGACGAACCAAAGGAATGGAAAATCGGACGCGACGCCTTGCTTGGATATACCGCTGGTATCGGGCATAAGCACCAGTCCCAAGGTCTATCCAAGGGTATGTTCTCCGGTGAGGGATTCTTCGTCTACAAGATCACAGGAAGTGGGATCCTTTGGATGCAAAGTTTTGGTGCAATCATCCGGAAAGATGTAAGTCGATCATGCCCGGTAATTTGAAATCGGGGGTTTTATCTGACACCTACAAAGCTTGAGGAAGGCATGAGCTACTTTGTCGACAATGGCCACCTTGTGGCTTGGGACTGCAAGTACAAGATGGAGCGTGTGGCCTCTGGAGGTATCGTCTCCGGCGTTACCTCTGGCGAGGGTCTTGCTTGCAGATTTACGGGGCCTGGAACTGTCTACCTACAGACCAGAAACCTGAATGCCTTTTCTGCCCAGATGAAGTTGAGTGCTGCAAAGGGTTGATTCTACCATGCCGATTCGGTCAGAAGAGGCCAGTTTGTGAATTTTGTACGTTGACATTTACTTTCGTCTCAAACGAAGATGTCCCCTTGCTTGTTGTCATCATGTGGTTTTGTTGTATACCTCTTCATTGCATCGGGCAATGCTCAATCACGGGCTGCTCTCCATTTTATACCAATTTTGCTCAGTACATTTTATGTAGAACTGTTTATGAATTTTTGCAGCGATATCATCACAATTATAAATGAGTTTGATATACTACACACCTACGAGCCTATCCTTGTTACTCCATAGGAAGGGCAATAAACAAAGTATCCGATATCTCTTTAAGATCTTGAGCTTGAGACTTAAAATAGGCAAGTGCTTGCTAATTAGTACCCCGCGGAGCAGATCAGACTCGTGGGGACCGAAGGTTTAAAAGGCAAAAGAAAGAAATTTAATAGTGGGCGATTCTACCACATTCCTAACGTTCAACTAGATACAAAATCATACAGCCTCGAAGGCAAGACATAGTGATATCAGTCTATTTCATGCGAAACTACTTTTCATTCTTCAAATCGTTTCCTCATCTCAAGCCCCTCAGGGTAGAAAGAGAAGCATCAGTGCCTTGTTTCCACCCCGCAAAAGCTCTAGTAAGTGACACGCCATAAGGAAGAGATAAAAACAAGCCCTTCCTTCGCACATTGCCAGCACAGCTCCACCGCTTAGCCCACACGCTTTCTGCGGCCGATCTGGGACCGGAAACCGGTCTTGATGGCGGCGACGGAACGACGGGATCCGCAGGAGTTGCAAGTAACGAAATACAGACGGTTCTCTCCCTTGTTGAGCTCGGTGTCGGGGCTGCGGCACGTCTTGCATGTGACGTACTCCACAATATAGCGACGCAGAACCGATTCGATACCCTTCTGTTGGAATCTTCCCTTGATGACCAGGCGACGGCTACCGTCGACACTGCCTGACGTACCGAGTTCGGCGAAGAGGAATTGGGTGCAGTGCTCCTCGCTAATTAAAAAAGACAGTTAGAAACAAATTTCAACGAGTACATGGGAAAGGAGATAACGAACCTTCGCTTCATGCGCTTGCAGATATCGGCAATGTTGGCGAAAATGGTACGACGGTTACCTTCACGCAGGCACTGGGGCGGGGGAATCTTGTAGGACTTGGCGCCGCTGGACAGAAGGTCGGGGTGGTGGCTCTCGATGAGGGAGAAGAAGCGGGAGACGAGGAGCGAGTAGGGGATGGGTTGTGTGGCGTCGTGAGCCCAGATACCGGTGCCGGCCTCAAGGTCGCCCTCGGGGAGCTCCTCGGGCTGATCCTCGCCAGCCTCCTCAGCAATACCAGCCTCAGCGAGCTTGGCGTCGAAGTCGTTGGGGTCGGCCTTCTTAGACTTGCTGCTGCCCTTCTTTTTCTTCTTCAGCGCAGAGGGATCGAACTCGCCGTCGGCGGCGGCGGGGGCTTCGTCGTCATCGCCAGCTTCGGTGGTCTTAGACTTCTTGGAGGGCTTCTTCTTTTTTGAGAGACCCTTGAACATCTCGGTAACCTCGTCGACATCCTTCTCTGTATATTCAAGACATCGTTAGTGGGGCTGTGGCAAAGGCGACTGGGGGACTGCTGGGATCGGAGAGCTATTGCATACCGGCTGTAGGAGCCTCAGCCGGAGGGGCATCTGTGACTTGGCCATTGGTATCCATGATGACCGATCCTTCGCTGAATGCGACCGACTTGCGCTGTTTAGTTTCGAGTTCCTGAGCGGAGCGGCAAAAAGCGGTGTTAGTTCTGAGTAAAAAGAGAAATAGCAGAAGAAATCGTATAGCCTGGCTTTTCAATAAAAGTGCCAGTCCTTAAACCCGGCTAAACGATGTGCGTTCTTGGATCAGAGTGGTTGGCGGCCGAGGGGTCGATATTGTGCAGACTTAAAGAAAATGTGGGAGGGTCGGTAAAAAGACAAGGGTGTGACGTACAGCGTCCGCCATGTTCGTAGGCTTCAAAGATGCTATTCACTCCACCACAGTTCGTTGGAGATGAGGTCAGGTTGTTGCGAATTCGAGGAGCTAGAGCAAGAGTGTCAGATGGCAAAATTGTCGCTGGAATCTGATATCGCCAGGCCTGAAGGCAATTCTGTTATCGCGGTACTGGCACGTGACCGCCAACTGAGTCACCAGATTACACGGTCACGTGTTTAATTACGGAGCTTGGCGGTGCCGGTCGATCAAGGGAAACAGTCCAGGCTGCTCTCACATTTACGTAGAACCGCAGTAGGCAGGCCGCTGCTTGATCAACATCGCTTCCCCTCATTCACTCAACCCCACCTCTCTTTACAACAATCTCCATCATGTCTTTCTCTCAAGACAGCTCGAATCCCTCTTTCTCGATGTCCGCGTACATGGTTCCCTCCCGACAATCCTCATACTCCCAGTCCCAGTCCGACGATGAGCTCGCCTCTCTCCCTTCAGAATCTACAAACGACTCCGACCTCGATACCTTGTCCGAATATTCGTCCGATGCCGAGGCAGAATGGCAGGAAAGCATTGAACAACTGGAGCTTCTTCTGAGTATGGTCCTGGTACCCTTCCTTGGGAAATACCTGGGACGACGATGCGCATATTGGAGTATGTGACACCAGCAAGCTTCACAGTCTTGCCGTGCGAGAGAACAACATGCTAATGGGCTGGTCCTTTAGGTTGGACGCGATTCATGGAGTGGAAGTTCCCCGTTGAGGTGGTGATGCAGAACCCGGGCGCATTCAAAGCAGCGGGTGTGGTCGAGGCGGCTGCGACTCTATGATAGATTATAGTCCCAATCGCCTTGCAAGCACTTGCTGCATGTCATTTTTATCAAGCGTGTCATTGTCAACCGCCCCACCTCTCAGCGTTCCAATCCCTTTACAAAACCGACCCGACTTATTTTCGTGGACTCCGCAACATATCCACGACTTAAAAGCTACAAGATTGCCTCATCGAATTCAAACTCCCAACAATTCTGGCGTTGGTTGTATCTGGCGTTGCACGGGGACCGTCGTTTCCGATCTCCCGTGTTTCGCGATTGTTCTTCGTCCAACAGTGAGATAAATGGATAGGTCAACTTCAATAGAGACAAGGTTTTGGATTTGAGCCATCTGATGATGTGTTCAATTTCTCTGTCCAAGACTGTTATATACCCAATGAATTCATCAACCCTCATAAACCAGCGCCAGTGCGCTTTCTAAATCATTGACTGGCAGTTTGTGGTGACATGTTGAAGAACCCGACTGAGCTGAACTGCATTTGAGTCAAATCTTGGGCTCGATTAGCCCAATTATTGTCACAAATAGAAGAGTCACCACATATCTGGTCAGCACCAAGGCAAGTGTAGCGCACCAGAGACCTTTGTTCACGCGTTCGATAGGTATCACGTCGTGTTAGAACCATGTGCGAGGACCTCAGCGCGAACGATTCTGTGATACAAACAAGACATTGGAATACGTGGAGAGATTAAGTCTAGGAGTTCAACTCGGCTATGGCTATCTACATGTATTCCGTGGGACTTGTCAAGTGGCAATGAGAGCCACGACTTCAGGAACATCCACGAGAACGCTAGGTTTGATATCTGATGCAGACCTACATGGACCTCATAACAATGGCAATGTTATGATCCCTGTGGTAGGTGAAGCAGCATGTGCTACGGTACCCTCTGTCAACGCTGTCTCGGGGGGGGGCGAGGGGAAGGGGAGGGGAAGGGGAGGGGGGGTGGACGGAGAGATGGTGGTCAGAGAGATAGGGAGGAGAGAAGAAGAAGAGAAGAAGAGGAATGGGGGGAGGGGTCCTTTTATACCCCAAACCCACGTGCCTTCCTAACGTGCGACAGGTCCCTCGCACCTGCCCTGTCAATATCAATGTCACATGGCACCTTCCAGTTTACATTGTTTGCCTTCTTTGTTTACACGGGGAACTGCTAAGGTTTGGGAAGGAGCCATGAAGCCAATGTCGGAACGTTTGAAGTAAGAATGCTTCGGGCTTCACGATACTGAAATCTCTGTCTGACAATGGGAATGTGTTTTGTTACTACAATACATGTGCTCTGGTCTGATCATACAAGTTCGGAGGGGAGGTTACCCTAATGCTATCTTGGATTCAAGGTGCTCACAATCTCTATTCACGGCTGAACTCAAGCTAGCGAGGTATGTACATGAAGATGGCGCTACTTCGCTTTGATATGGTTGAATGATTGATGCAAATGTGGCCAAGCTTGCTATTGACACGTTCGACTGTCCAGTTAATAACCACGTTGCCGGTGAAGATCAGTAGAGTTTGTTCTGTCGCCAGAAGTCAGGTATTTCTGGGTGCTGACTCTGTTGCGCGTCGTTTCCAGTTAGTGGCTGGCCGTATGCAGTAGTCAGCCATGGCATATCATTGTTCGGGTCAACACCAGGATAGATCGAATGACTCGTGGGTGGTTTGGTTTGATGAGAAGGCTCCGTTGGGAACTCATCATACCGCTCTTCTATGATATCCTGGGAGACCGTTGCGAGATGTTCTGGTTCTCCCGCCTCTGCCTGTCGGGTAGGAATATCATAGTCCCGAATGCCAGTCGATTCTGGACTATTCGGAATATTATTGCCAAGTTCGGGAGATTCAAGTGACCGCTGTAAGTTTGATGCAACTTCTGCCGCAACCTCAGGGCGCACGATGGCGCAGTAAGCAGCATCCAGCGTACGATAGAACTCATCATCATCATCATCAACTCGATCCAGCTCATAAAATTCAATGTCAGACATATGCGGCTGTTTGACCCCCGGTGCAGGTGTAGGAAACAATACTGCATGCTCTCCCGATTCGTGAGAGAAAGGCTCGCACTGATCTTCACTCCAGATGTCTATGAAACGATCTGGGCTGTTTGATGTCATGGCAACTTGGTGGTTTAGACAGTCCGGTCTATCTGAAGCTTGACGTTCTCGGTCTTGTTGTTGCTCGAGAATTGGAGGTTGTTGGTGTGGTCTGTTATTCACACTGCGGGCCGTTTCACAAGCGACGTTCGAATCTGGGGATTGTTCGGATATTTCATTTTGTACACTGCCGACATTGGCAAGATCCAAAGTGTCTGATGCAACGATCTCGGGAACCCCCTGTGGAACGGCTTCGGATGCAGCTACCTGTCCCATGTTCGCTTCGGGTGAAGTTCGCTTTTTGTTGTCGGCTTCGTTTGACCATGATGCCTTTCTCGCCTCCAACAATTCCCATAATTCAGCGAGACTCCAATACCGTCTGCCCGAGACAATATTTGTGATATCAGAGCACAGCGCTTGGGGATATACCCCGACATGCAGCAGGCTCAGCAGGTGTTGTTCGAGGGCGTCGCTTTGTTCCATGTGGTCGATCTCAGTCTCAGTCCAAGTGTATGGAATTGATGACTGTTTTGATGTCTTTCTTCTTTTATTGTGGAACATAGAGGAAGTGCCCCAAGAGTGGCCGGAAACTGCGGACATCTCGCTGACGGGCGCCTTTTCAAATGGAAACAGCGGCGTGACTGAGGCGTCAAGTTGGCGTTCCACATCAAGAAACCTGTTGCTTAGGTGAGACCTGTTGATTCTGGAGTCATGTGCAAGATAATCGAACTGTAGCTCTCGTGGGTGGTGCTCTCTCCCGTGCTGTCTATCCAGAGTATCTCTGGCGGTCGACGTGGGATACGGGCTGGGATTATTCCTCCGGGACAGAAAGTTCATCTCGGAAAAGGCAAGATCGGATTCTGCGGTCCACTTATGAGGCTTGATGCTTGGTGGTCTCCCAAGAGCGGTTGACGGGGTATTTCCGGTGTGGTTGGTTATACACGAAGACCGTCCCTTGCTGAACATACCCAGGTTCATGTTTTTGCGCAGCTATTTGGCATGAGTAACATTCAGCGAGAAGTTGCAGAGCGATACTTACTGTCAATCTGTTTCCTGTGATATTGATGGCATGGAAGTCATCATTGATGGTGTGCTTCCTGCCCCGGGATTTCCTAGTCCTTCCTTTGCGAGACTGCGACTGAGTCTCCGCCGCCGATAATGGGCCTTTGTATTCATAGCGATCCTCGCGAGTCTTGTGTCTGGGCCTTATCTGGTAGCTATGTCGTGATCTCTTATGGCTCTCACTTCGTGGTATGGTTTCGTGCGTAGATGGTGCTTTCGTTCCCTTGTGGCCTGAATCTCTCTTCCTGCTAGCTGAATGTCCATTCCCACGCAAATTATCGGATATCTCAAATGGGATGCGGGTTTGCGGTATGCTCGTTACAGGAGCTGTGTCCTTCGCTTGTTCCTTGTTCTCAGCTAAAGCTATGTTAGCGCAGAGACTTCATAGTTCTTGCGACGACAACATGCCTCCATCTTGATGGCTCCTTTGTTGCTGGCTCGCAACAGTGGAAAGCCAGTGATAAATTGGATTATTGGTTTCCATCGAGAAAGCTCCCAGAACTCCGAGAACTGGGCCGTATTTGTAGAAATAAAGTCGACTTGAAGCAACTGGACAGAGTAAGGTGACCTGAAAGCACACAAATCCAAGTCACCGCCGAAGAAAGCGCGACCATCTCAAGTTCGTCCTCCTGTCTTTTCATTGTTTCCTCGTTTTTCCTTGTTTTTCTATCAATGCCCATTTATTGCCCATTTATTGCTCTTTAATGCTCTCTCTCGGCGCTTAAATGAGAAGTGTTCCTTGGGTCATCTATGAATTGCTTTTGTTCAAATGTTTTCGGTACTTTTCTTCCATACCTACCTCCATCAACCTATCGGAGACGGATTTCAACATCGTATAGACGCAATCCCAGTGCCGATCGTCGCCATTTGCGATCTCTCCCGGCACATGGAGTACAAGGCCGACGGCCCAAGCCGCATGTGGGCCTACGGAGCACTGCCCTCTCTGCCCGATGCACGCGCGCGCAAAGCCACTTTGAGACTGACGATGGCCCGAACTGAGAGGCTAGACCCACGGTGGTAATCGAATGCAGATCTCAAGTCTGCATTGCCAAATCCTCCTCAACTTCTAGCGGTTGATTCCCGACCGAATGAGGACAAAAGTCCACAATGCATACACACGCATACGACCAATCAGGCATGAAGCGAGCTACGGGGAATCGACAAAATTCCACAGTCCACGCGTGAAGACTCCACCCGAATAATGTTGCTTTCATCAATGGACTCATATCCCGGCCGTCGGGGCAAGAAGGATAGACTAGCCATATACTCAGTATGGAGTGCATAGATTCACAATATAATCTAGGTGCTAGTCCAGCCCTATGAATCCCAAAGCAGAATTCCTCGGATCTTCAACCAAGTGAGGGGCAACAAAGGTACATAAGCCGTTGCCCTAAGTGCCGCCAATCCAAACGGAGCATCGGATACCATCTGATTGACTGCTGGAAACCCGACGACCCGCAATTGTATCAGCTCAAGGTTTAGGGCCGTGAGACTGGCTTTGGCGTGTTTATCTCTGCAGCATCCCTCCCCCACTTCGAAGTACGCTTGAGGCTAAGCCCGGACCTTTCTCGCTCTAGTCAAGATTCCAGACAAAGACACAGTACAGAGTACGCTTAAATAGATATTACTCGTTGTGGACTTGCCGTTGGCGTCCGACCAGTGGAAAATCCCCGGCAATGTGCAAGCCCTAACGCAGTGTGATTGTTACACGGGACTGGATGCTGACTCGCCTCTTAACCGCTAGGATCTCCCTGTCGTCTCACAATCCGGACGGGTTCATATTTTTATCCTTCCTTTCTTTTTGATCGTCTCCTTTTTTCAACCCTCATCTCCTCGCCCTCGGATCAAGTCAGCTCGAGCGTTGTCTCTCTTACAGCTTCCTCTCTTACACCTCGAACACGATGTCTAAACTCTTTATTCAGTGTGTATATATACCTGGGAACACATTTGTGCTGGTTGGAGCCAGTCTAACCGTTGCTGCGATGGGATTTAGTGGCCTTTCTTGGCATACTAGCGATGACACCTTGCGCGAGGGTTTCCAACCATTCGGCGAGATTCAAGAAGCCGTCAGTCTCCCTTGACTGATGTACACCACATGTTTCTTGGACTTCTACTGACCATGAGTACAGATTGTCGTGAAAGACCGTGCGACTTTGCGCAGCCGCGGCTTCGGCTTTGTTCGCTTTGCTACTGACGCCGAGGCGGATGCTGCTATGGGCGCTATGAACAACCAAGAGTAACCATCCAACCTCACATTCATTTTATGAGTTCAAGATCTCATACGTTGTTCAGATTCGACGGACGGGTCATTCGCGTTGACAAGGCGTTTGATCGCCCACAACGCCAGGATGCTGGCTTCCACGGTCGTGGTGGATACAATGCCCAGCCTCAATCTAGTTACCACGGTGGTGGTGGTGTTTACGGTGGCTACAATCACAATCATGGCGGGTACAATAACGGTCCTGCCGCTGCCGGTGGATACGGTGGGCCCTACAACCGTGGGTACAGCAACTACGCTCCTAGCGGTCCCGCTGGTTATGGCGCAGCTGGTCCCGGCGGCTATGGTTAGTTTTTGATTCCTCTTTCTTGTTGCTTTGCTAATTAATTATAGGTGGTGGCCCAAACTCTGGGTATGGCGGTGGTGGAGGTGAGTTATTGTGTTATCTTGATCCTGATATTAACTAACATCCAAAGGCTGGCGCGGAAACAGCCACGAGCAGGCTCCTCAAGAGGGTTACCATTAGCTGATGGGGTCTTTTCGATTTCTTCATACGCGCCTTTCTTTGGCAAATCTTTCCAAAAGAAGTAACGATCTACAAAAGAATATGGCGAAAGATGAAACAGCGGGGTCCTGCCCATTGAATTTTGTTACAGGATATTGTTATTTTCCTTCGCGCTCGACTTGTTAGGAAGGGAATATGGGCTTATTATTTGAGAATTTGTTTTATTGGACGCAGATTTGGGCTTTTATACGGTTGCGTTTCGACTTGTTTCACCTACGAACTTTTGATGTCTTCTTTCTCTCTTTGGGAGAGTGACCATATGGTTTCATATCTGCAATGCCTATTTTCGTTTCACGGCATATCCTTCCTATGACTGAGTACATAGAGCAAGGGTAGTGATTCGATGGCATGTATGTCCAGGAAGGGTCACGGGTGACGGACTGAACTATGTATTACAACCACGAGGTTTTTTCCGGGGAACAAAATCAGACATCGTCTGCTACTGCTACTGAATATTCTATTATTTTTGGCGACCATTTATACATGTGAGACAGTTCCCGTTGGGCACCCTTGCTTTGTAGAAACAGTCATTCCCGCCCAGGCAAGAATAGCCTCAATGTACTCTATAACAAGATCGGACAAAACCAGAATTATACCAAAGCCCATACGCCCCCCCTATATTTAGGAAAAGCAACCTATGCCATCTATTCAGTCGCTTCTTTCGCTATCTATCTATTGTGCTAGGCAAATATGTAACCTATATATGTGCAACCAAAAATCTTCAAAGTCACCAACAAAGCCTTGACCCATACACCTCATTCAATGGCTGTTCTCACGATCAGACTCATCACCCTCGCCCTCCAAAGATCTAGTAACCTTCAGTCCAGCCTCCTTCTCCTCAGCGTCTGCAAGCCCCTCAGCCTCAATAGCCTTAACCCTCTTAACCAAATCCGTAACATGAACATCCGCAGTCCCAAGCCCAAGACCCTCAAGAGCCTTCTCCAACAAGAACAAATACTCAGAACCCTTGCCACTCAACCCATGCCCAGCACTAATAACCTGCGCCACATTCTGCGGCTCACGCTGAGCTGCTTCACGCAGGAACTGCGGGTTAGTCGGCTTGCCGATGTAGACCATGCAGATGATTGGAGAAGGCCCGGTCGAGCCGGCTGCTCCTTCGACATCTACGGTCGGGTGGAATGGTGTGTAGTGTGCACTGTACCCATCGATTTCCCGCTCGTCGAGGTAGTCGTGGACTTCTTCGGCATGAGATGCGGGGATGTGATACGCTGCGCCCCAGACTTTGCCTGTGGAGGCAGCTTCAGATTCTAGGTGGGCGAGCTAAGGGTTATATCAATATGGGTGTATCAATTAGAGGCGCATGCGGAACATACCGGATCGTTCAAGGTCTCCCAGAAGCTTCGCTCAATTACGGTGACTACTCGGCCCGGTTGTTCGGGGGTGCCACGGTGATCGGTACTTTGATCAAGTTAGTGATTTAAGGTTCTCGGCAGGTTTATATGGCGACGTCTGCATATTGCACATAGTCAACGACATACCTGGCCTAGAATTCATGGGCAATAGCCACGATGTTAGTCTGGTTATTTCGAATGTGGGCAAATATAAAGCCTTTCCCACGCACCTGCCAGAAACGCCGCACATAGCCATTAATATAGCCCGGTACACGCTGGTCTAGATGGTGTAATTAGTCGATTGATTCTTGGTCAAAAGCAACCAACACAATGTCTCGTTTTAGCGCTGCACTTTTACATTGCAGTCTCCACGTACCATAGTGTGGAGGCGGTTTCCAGATCAAGCTCCTATAATCATAATTAGTATTCGATATTTGACGGCTCAATGGAACAATTTCGGAACAATTAGTTAACTCACCCGTAACCAAATACCCAAAGATCGCCCTTGGGAAAATGACTCTTCCACGTCCGACCGTCCGGATGGACCTGGTGCCCTTGTGCAATGGCAGCCATATCAAATAGCCAATGTCAAATGCGCTCCAGCGAGTTTATTGGCTGCGGGTTTCCGACCTTCCAAGCCCTGGCGGTGGTGGATTAATAATGCGCTCCGACAGCTCCAAGGCTGATTTCTGTGAATCAGCACGTCAACTTTAGAGAAGAAAACCAGGGTCTTGAATTCTTTGCTAAAGAGGATGCTGTTATAAATTGAATTTGACCACAATTGTGAACGTTTTAAATGTTGAAGTTGCCCAAGATTGATTATACTGATTTTGTTTGCATTGTTTGTTCTTGGGCATCCCGCCATCTGCGTGATGGATGAGGCATTTCAACACTTTCAAAGCACAACATGTGAGATACATGTAACGCACCAGTGAGGTACAAGTGCGATACAAGTGAGATGGTCTATATATAGAGTAGAGGAAATATCTTCAGGGGATTGGTATATCGACTCACTTTGATTCTACCTTATCTTTTGCACCTTTAAATTCCGGTTCACGTAGTAAACAAGAATAGCCTTCTCATATTAATCTGGTGGTCTATTTAGATGCTTTTTGAGATATCTATTACGCTGATACCTAGGGATAGTAGGGAGAATGATGATATTATCCTGGGGGTCACGTGGTAGCTAGCTATTATATATGCTGACATCGCACTTTCTCCTTCTCCTTCTCACCACTCTTCAAGCATCACCCACAGACTGCTAAGGGCGCAGAATCAGCCAAGCAGACTGATTTTGATACCAAGGATGATGTGGACCTCGACAAAGGACCCTGAAGAAAAAGCAGACCAGGCATTGAGTACCATTGAAGCTGGTGGATTCTTCACCCAGTCACTTTACTCGTCCTTGTCTCAACCTCCGTGACCGAGGAGGTTGGAAATTGCCTTCTTACTCTTCTTGATCAGAAATACACACTTGTCCAGAAAGGGTTCTTCATAAAGAAGTTCTAAATTTCAAATTATGTTGGAGATCAAAAAAACCGAACACATTCATCATTCCCTATGACAACCCATCAACCAACCGTGGTCATAGAGGTTGGTTTCAACCAAACCTACTCAATCGTGGTATAGGATGCGAAATTTTGGCTAGAGGGTGTTGATGTCAATGTACGCAAGGTCATTCTTATCAGATTCTTCCAGCGTAAGAGAGGAGTGTCCAGTACAATCGAACTATGGTGCCGAAATGCGACGGGCAAGGCACAAATGATCTGGATATAGATCTTCCTGGTTCGGGGCCCGGTGGAACTGCCTATTTAGCTAACCATAGAAGACATTTTTGACGGCGTGGTTGACCCGAGCCGCCAGGGCACTGATCGCCTTAGCTTTGACGTCACTTCTCTCCGCGAGATAATCACTGGAATGGGGTTGGATCTCGTTGGGCTAACTCCTGTGCCTTGAATGTTCTGATATCATATAGATCAGTTGGAACAATTTCAATATCACAGATGCTATGGCCATCAAGACAATCAATCACCAGGATAGGATCCTGAAAGCACAGATATTCGGTGCGACAGATGACATGCTGAGCCATACCCCTCTTCCCGGCAATATCACGGTGCCGAACTGACTGAGTCTGTTGTAAGACACAACGTCAACGCGCGTTCTTCGGGTGTTTCTCGCTTCTATCCTCGTGCTGTATCGTCAGTTCCATTTTCATGAACACCAACACGTCTTGCCAAAGAATGCGTCCAGAATTGCCGTCATCACCAGTCTTCTTGCTGACTCAAATATCCTAGATCGATGTCGCTCGATGTCGCTCGATATGAGAAGGTCCTGGCGGATCCGAATGAACAGTCCAAACGGTGATATGTCATTCCTGTTCATCTTCCAAGGTTGGCATCAATGATCTGCACTATGGCAAGGGTCAACACGAAAGAGGCGAACCATACTCGGCAAAAGGATCTGCAGTTATTCATACTCCTATTATTTGACATGTTACAAGTGAGGTCCGTGTACGGGTATAGTTATACACCGCTTTCGTACCTTGGTAGATCTGCACTAATCGTATCCTTATCGCTTATCCTTATCGCTATTCTTTATCGGCCCCGGTGTTATCGGCTTTTTTTCTTCCCCCAAAACATTCATCACGCGCCTCGCACCCTTGGTACTTTGTTTACTTTGTTTTATCCCTCCAACCTTTTGAATCCCAATTTTTATCATGGCGGCCATCTTTCGCCTCCTCAAGATGCAGTACACTCCTCCCCTTGATCCTCAAGGTGCGTCCTTCGCTGGTAAGATCGTCATTTTGACAGGTGCCACTTCTGGCCTTGGCTTTGAAGCAGCCATCAAAATCCTCAATCTCGGCGTTGAGTCGCTCATTATCGGATCTCGCAGCATCGAAAAGGGCAACAAGGCCAAAGTTGACCTCGAACGAGCCACCAACCGACGCAACGTGGTCAAAGTGTGGCAGCTCGAGATGAACAGCTTCCAGAGCGTCAAAGACTTCGCCGAACGCGTCCATGTCGAGTTGGACCGTGTTGACGTCGCGTTGCTTAATGCTGGACTTTGGAATCGCGAATACTATCAATCCTCCGAGGGCTGGGAGGAGACCCTGCAGGTCAACACCCTGTCGACCTTGATGTTGGCCATACTTCTACTTCCTAAGCTAAAGAAAAGCTCCTACGTCGATAACCCCACCCACCTAACTCTCGTTTCCAGCCAGCAATTCGTTCGCGTCAAGCCCGCAAGTATCCAGACCGATGGCTCGATCCTCGCCTACGTCAACGACCCGGACAACTTCAACGGTCCCAAGCAGTACGGCATTTCGAAGCTTCTGCTCGAAATCGTGATCAAGAAAATCGCCAATATCGTGTACAACGACGACGGCACTCACACTCTGGTTGTCAACACTGTCAGCCCCGGACTGTGCATCTCGGCTTTGGGTCGCAAGTATTCTCATTGGTGGGAGAAGTGTATCGTTTGGGTTATGCACACTTTTTTCGCGCGTACTACTGAGCAGGGAAGCCGTTCGCTGGTCAGTGCTACCCTCCAGAGTCTCGAATCGCAGGGAAAATGCTGGCGCAGTGAGGGATATCTTGAGTAAGACCATCTTTCACCCCGTTTCAATTGACCATTACTAATGATTTTATAGTGAGTCGACTGCGCTGACTACTATCCTAGAGGGAGAGGAACTCCAGGAGAAGGCTTGGGAGGAGATCATCGCCGTGCTCGAGGAGCAAGCGCCGGAGGTGTCCCTCGTCGCTCGTGGCCTGTACCAGGGCGTTTAAATTCCACGACGCCGACGACAAGCCAACGAGGTTCGACCGAGGAGTGGTTTGTTCATGCGCCTAGCGCATTTTTGCAGAATATCAAGCGTTCTTGCCTTTGAGATACCCTGCTAATGTTAACTGAGAAATGAGAAATGAAATCTTTCAAGCTTACTTCTTGTTTACAATATAGAATATACAGCAATCGTAGTCAGTGACCCGTAGCTGAATTATATCCAGTATATATACACAGCGCATACAGTCAACGAGAAAAGAAGTCATAGACTATATATCTAGAAGTGGTTATACATTAGGAAATTGTACTATAACGAGCTATCTCGTGATAGCCAAGGTGACATCATTGGAGTAGGATCCATTTTATAGCGTGCCGTCAAGCGTGAGCATGCTGTAATTGAAGGTCTGTAGTGGTTAAGTGAACGCGGTGGATATCTGTACTCCGTACGCCATAGGGTGGAGCAGGGCGTTCGAGTTGGGCACACAACTCAGCCTCTTTCAATCTTAATTACGTCGCGTATTTTGCCCCTGAAATTTGGAGACTTGTCTCTCTAATACTATCCAAACCTACAATGCAAGCGGTACACCCGTACTATACGTATTAACGCGGGGATTCGAGTTCTGTGCTGTATACTGAGGGGTCCGGAATAGAAACCACGCACTTCTCGAAACTCGTATTCGTATTAGTTCTAACATAGCGCTGGCTAGGTGGATCTAGGGGCGTTAATTCGATAGATTCATGTACTCCGTAGTTTGGATATGTTTTTTTGTTAATTTTAGAGCAGAGCCTCATAGTGAAGCTGGTATTCCAAGGTTCTTCCTAGCAAATCCATGGACCTATATTGAACAAAATCAATAGAAACAGTCTGCCTACAAGTAGGTATGTCTAGCTATCTCACATACTAAAAATATTTATAAACTCGACAGTATAAGGCCTCTAAACCAATATGTAGCTCTCAATTCGTCATGTACCCTCCGCAGTTCCTCCGACAAGGTTCCTCACATGCGCTAAAAATCAATACCCCCCCCCCGGCTCCGCTTTCAGGTGCCTCCTTTTATTCTTCTTCTTCTTCATATACCTTTGCACTTCCTGTGTCGCATTCTTTCTCTCGATTGTGTCACCTCGAGTGCTCCGACTATGGCCTACAACAAATCCTACAACCCCGATGCGCTGCCAGCGTAAGTGAATCATCTAGCCAACTTCTACAGCTACTGATTACTGACTTGGGAATAATACAGTCATGCTGAGCCAGAAGAGGTACAACATCTGTTACACGACTTATATTCCCTTCGTTAACCCTCAATTAGGCGGCGCAGATGTTGAGCAACATGAGTGTATCAGGCCACACCCAGAGCCTCAACCAAAAACCGCTCCCATCTCGCCCGTCACCGCAAGGAACCCACAGCGGTGTCCCTCCACGTGTTCCTGTATCCAGCGCCAGCACTCCCCAGCACGCATACGCCTCAGCGCCTCCACGCCTTGATTCCCAGCCTTACCACTCCCACTCCCACTCCAACTCCTACAGCGGCCGCCCCTCGGCAACAAACGCGCCCCCGCCAAGTCAACACTTCAGCCAGTCTCAGTCTCGTCCTCACCCCCTCCACCCCTCCCCGCCACCCCAGAACTATGGGTTCGGGCCCCCACCAGTGCACCCCCAGCGCAACCGACCACCGCCCTCATCGCGGCCTCCCCAATCGCCCGCCCCACCGCCATTGACAGCACCCAGCGATGACCCGCAACAACTCTTCCCCCTCTTCCGCGCCGCGAACGCGTCCCACTCCGGCACCCTGACTGAAGGGGAGCTCGGCAGCGCGCTCGTGAACGGCGACTACACGTCCTTCCACCCGCGGACGGTCCGGCTGATGATCCGGATGTTCGACCGCGACGGCAGCGGGACAATCAACTTCGACGAGTTTGTCTCGCTGTGGCGGTATCTGGCTGCGTGGCGGGAGCTGTTCGATCGCTTTGACGAAGACCGCAGTGGACGCATCAGCCAGCGGGAGTTCGAGAACGCGCTTGTTGCGTTCGGATATCGTCTTAGCGGGAAGTTCATTTCTGTTATCTTTGGTGTCTTTGAAGCCAAGGCTAAACAGATGAGCAATGCGCCTAAGGACTATAGGTCTACTGGTATGAGCTTTGATCTTTTCGTTCAGGCTTGTATCAGTCTGAAGCGTATGACGGATGTCTTTAAGCGGTATGATGATGATCGGGATGGGTATATTACCCTGAGCTTTGAAGAGGCTTTGACTGGTAGGTTTTGGTGTCTGTTGTGTTGTTGGGGACCAGTGGCTAACTGGGCATCGCTTTCACAGAGATTCTTCTATTGCAGGAGTAAAGCATTCTGCTCCATTACCATACGTGTATTTCTCGATTTCCTTTTCCTAGTCGTGATGTTCTCTCTACGCTCTGGCTCTTTTCATTATACCCAACCCCCCATTTGCTTTTGTCATAGAATTTCCAGAACACTGGCCATTACTTGTTCATCGAGGAATCATCGAGCCACGAATAGGCGTGGAACATGAATGCATTGAGATTTCCCAAGTATTGGCCATCTCTCTCCAAATAAGGCATACACTCGTCCATCAAAGTAGATGGTAAAATTCACATGGTCGGTCAGAGATACTATTACATTATAAGGAATATTATCGTGGATATTATGATGGCCGAAGTAACTAGACTAGACGATTTCACTGTCCGCTCCATAAGCAAATCCAAAACATATGGTGGGATTGCATCCATGCTAGGATTCGCTCTTGGCGGTTCTTGGAAATCTTCTTCATAACCGAACTCGACCATAATGCTGGCCACCACGGAAACCCTACAGCAATCTTTGCTTGCTCTAGAGGAGATGTTCGAAGGAACCAAAGTGAATTTCCAGATCTCACCGTATGAATTACCTGATTCTGATGATTTATGATGATCTCGACTTCTATCGTTGTTACACTGATAGCTCAGGGGAAGATGAGTGATGTCGAATGCGAATACACTGACATCAGTCAACATCGGATAAAGACCATTTTCACAATCGTCCGCGATGTTCCGAGCCAACTCCCCGACAGATGATTTGCAGTCCATGATATGGAGTGTCTTTAACGAGCTGGGGAATTCGGGATGTGGTGGAAGAAAATCGTGTGTGATGACGATGGTCTCCAGCACGGGGAAATCGCGGAATGAGCCAACCTCGATGTGGCCATAAAGCGTGTGCTCGAAGATATCAAAGCCTTTCGTGTAGTCGAGGTGGAAGAGCTCGAGGGTGTCTTTATGTAGGAGGACGGCTTCGTAGGCCTGCTTTGCGTTGAACTTGACTAGTCTTTTCGCACGGCGTCGTTTATCCGGGTCCAAGCTGAAATTGCTATAGGTGAAGGCCTTTAGCTTCTTGCACGCTTGCATCATCTTTTTGAGGGCGAAAGGATGGATTGCGCAGTGGTGGAAGGCCAGTTTCTCCGTCTCCAATGTTCCAGGAAGCCAGGAAGATGGAAACGGACAAAAATAATCATGGCTGAGAGCACCGTACTTAAACGTCGAGGATTTGACCTTGGGAAGGGTGAGGAGTTTCTCTTAGGTAGCAATGTCCATTCTGAAAAACGTGTCCCCGTTACGATATTCCTCATCGCTTTCAATCCAGACAGACTCGAGGTTCGACAAAAATTCAGGATTGTGGCCGAAAAGCTGGATGAATGGCGTATCCCAGAAGTGGGATACTGGCAGATGTAGGCAACGAATATTGGGGGCCTTGTTGGCTACCAATGCTGTGAAAACGCCTAGGTCGCGGGATCCCTTCATAGACCTAATCCACTCTCAACTGAAGATCCTTGACTATGCTTTTGTACAACTGGAAGTCTGCGTTACGAGGGCGGTAACAGAGGGGTGGAGTAGGCAGGATGCAGATTTGATGCACATGCTTTGCGAGATCTGGACGACGATAAGTTGTTCTGGTAAACATTCGATAATCATGCGAACCATCATAAAAAAGAACACGGAAGAGGAACGGTTGGCCCACGTCATAGAACTTCCGCGAAACTAGGCACACATTGCGCAGAGTCTCAATTCCATCTTTCATTCTTCGATCTCCGCTTGGAAGCTCATCATCTGGGCGGATAAAAGAGACAATGAGATCTAGGAGCTCTATGGGAAGGCTCTGAATGTGTACCATGATTGAAGATGAGCTCCGCACTGAAGATGGCCCAAGCTGAGTGCTGGACTTGAGTTAGAATCGAAGGCGAGGGAGACCTCGGGGCCTTGGACGGTGAGATTGTCATCACGCATCGCAACCTTGGAAGCTTACGATGCGTATGTTGTAAAGGCCCGACCTATTCCCACATGTAAGCTACGCTAGCCTCTTTCGGGTCTAGCGTCATCTCTGGCCCCGCCGATAACCAAGATCTCGCGTATGTTGTAGTTAGTAGTTACTCCGTACCTCCAGGGCTGTGCAGTTTGGCATCATCTTGAGAGGCCCCAAGAAAGCGATGAGCGACTAACGTTAGGGTTAGGCGCCTTTTGATACTTATAAAGCGCATTCGACGCGAACTCTCCTGGGTCACCAAAATGTGAGAATCAAGGTGTCAAAGACAGGCCCTCCGAGTTACCGTTCGTGGCTTCCCCAAGGAATATATCTTCTACGCCCTTTCCAATGCGCGACATCCGCGGAATTCCATTGCTATCGTCCGTGGGCTGATATTTATACACACAACTCACAAACCCACGAGCGAATTATTACCGTCAGATTCCAAGCTTTGGCTGCCTCAAGTCTTACCGCTCCCGTCTTCAATTTCGCGGACATTGAAGCTATAGCCTATAGATCAGGGCAGCGTCATGCGAGTATCCAAAGCTACGGTTGCCGCTTAAAACGTAGCGGCGTGGAGTGATTCCATTACGTATTCCCGGGGAAGGCCATGGACACGATATTGGAACACTCTTTCAATTCTTAATAATTCGCATTATTCCCGCCATCGCCATCGAAATCGCATGGTCTGAGATTGCCCAGATGCAATCCACTGGCTCTAAAGAAACTCCTCTAACTACAATTCCACGAGCTCTCAGACTACTTCGCTGCTTTGCCTCATGTTCAACATCGGCAATGGCTCTCTAAGTTGGCCAGTGGAGGCTGTGATTAAATGGTGGGTCTTCTCTGGGAGCGGTTTCTCATGGACCGCATCGTTATTGTGTCGTGTCGAGATATGACTAGGGGCTGCCAGCTGCCTATCTCACGTGGTTGAGCGAGTTGATTCTGATGGTTTGCACTTTGTTCTAATTAAATCTGAAAGTCGGTCAGGCTCTCTGCATGAGCTGCGAGCTGGCTCTCCTTCAAATGACAACCACGTGTTCTTCGCATCGCATTGGTCCCATTGTAGATATTTCTCCGCAATAGGTATTCTCCTTCATACTATGTTTCTATCGTCGAAGATCAGGGGAAATGGCCACTTCAAGTTGACAATAAGGGCGATCAGCCTCCACTCCGTCCAGCAGCGATATGTTAGAAATATGTTTGTCCATTTTTGGCCCTTGTAAAACAAGATGCCTAACCAATGACTCACGTTTTCGTAAAAACAAGCCCTGAAGCTCGGCATCGGGGCTTATCCGAGCGCCGACACCGACGATCCACTGGATTCGACAATTTAGCACTTCGGCCTCGTCTTTCAACTTTAAACCCCGAAAATGCGAGATCCGATGACCCCTTTATATAATATATGTATCATAACTAGTTATCGATTCTACCGTTCTAGCAGCCAAAAAAATATTTTCCGCGGTCGGACATTTCTTAGCTTGGACGGAACGGACCTTTAACGCCGTTTCTTTCTAGAAACCCTTTCTCCCTTTCTTTTCCCCCCACAAATCATGATGAGGGAGCGCCAGCAACCAGACGCCTCGAGCAGTAATACTGAAATCGATCAATCCCACGTGGAAAAGTCCCTCGATACCCCCGACCAGGTAGCTGAGGTAGCCGACCAACACAACGATGAGAATGTGACGGAAAAGACAACAGAGGGTGCGCCTCTAGACCACGCACCCTCCCAGGCAGCAAAAATGGGCAAGAAAAAGATCATTGTCGTGATGATGGCGCTATGTGTAAGAAACCCTCCGGCGCGGGGAAACTTCGTGAAGTGCAGAAAGCTAATTCGAACTCGTATTTAGTTGGCTCTATTCTTGGCAGCTTTGGATATGGTATGTATATGCTCACTTTATTCCCCTTGCTTCGATTTTTATTAACGTTGATCTTGCAGACTATTATTTCCACCGCCCTTCCCACTATTGCCGCGCAGTTTGGTGCCTCTGAGAGCGGTTTCTCATGGATCGCATCGTCATATCTTCTAGCGAATGCCGCCTGTATCCCTCTGTGGGGTAAGATCAGTGATATCTGGGGAAGAAAGTCTATCATTGTCTTGGCAAATGTTGTCTTCCTAGTTGGCAGTCTGATCTGCGCTTTGGCGCATAATATGGCCACGATTATCGCAGGCCGAGCGGTTCAGGGTGTCGGTGGTGGTGGTATCATTATCCTGGCTAATATCAGTGTTTCGGATCTCTTCAGCTTGAGGTATGATATGACTTTTTGGTCTGGGATGCAACGAGGCTAACTTGTATACAGAGATCGTCCTATGTACTATGGTCTTTTCGGTGCAACCTGGGCCGTCGCAGGCGCTCTTGGTCCTGTTATTGGCGGAGCTTTCACGACTGAAGTGACTTGGCGCTGGTGTTTCTATCTCAACCTTCCGGTTGGAGGTGTCTCGCTTGCTATCCTTGTCCTCTTCCTTCACATTGAATCGCCCAAGACTCCATTCTGGGCTGGTCTGCGCTGCATTGATTGGACAGGAACGTTCTTGATCATCGGCGGGACACTGATGTTCCTCTTCGGGCTGGAGTTCGGAGGTGTCAACTACCCCTGGGCCTCACCTACTGTCATCTGTCTAATTGTCTTTGGTGTGTTAACTTGGGCTCTGGCAATGTTCCTGGAATGGAAGGTTGCCAAGTTCCCAATCATTCCCCCGCGACTGTTCAACGAGTGGTACAACATTCTCATCCTGCTCGTTTGTTTCTGCCACGGCTTCGCTTTCATCGCCGCTACCTACTATCTGCCGCTTTACTTCCAAACAGTCCTCCAGGCGACTCCCATTCTGAGTGGTGTGTATGTCCTGCCTCTGGTGTTATCTCTTGCAATCGGCTCCGCGGCCACGGGTGTCGTTATGAAGAAGACTGGTCGCTTCCGCGAGCTGATCATCGGCGGTATGACCTTGATGTCCCTTGGATTCGGACTTTTCATCGACCTCAAGGCCTACGCTTCATGGCCCCGTATCATCATCTACCAGTTAATCACTGGTATCGGTATTGGTCCTAATTTCCAGGCACCTTTGGTCGCTTTCCAAGCCAACATCCGCCCTGCCGACATGGCCACGGCAACAGCCACTTTCGGCTTTGTCCGTCAACTTTCCACTTCCATGTCCGTTGTTCTGGGCACTGTCATTTACCAAAACGTCATGAGCCAACAATCAGCCAAGCTCATCGCCGCCCTAGGCGCTGAAGACGCTGCAATTGTTTCTGCCTCCTTTAGCAGCTCTTCAAAGGCCCTTATCAAGAGGCTTACTCCCTCCCAGCGCAAGGTCGTCATGGAAGCCTTCACACATGCCCTGAACCGCATGTGGATCTTCTACACCGCCATCGCTTGCCTTGGCTTCGTTCTCGCTTTGTTAGTTCGCCGCCGTGAGCTGACCCGCCATCACACCGTCCAGAAGACCGGTCTTGCTGAGCAAGAGCGTGCCCGTCAGGAGCTTATCGACTCTCAGCGAAAGGCTGACTCGAAGCCCGAAATCGAGGCCTAATCTCTCTCCCTCTGGATACCGTACTAATTCCCCGTGCGCGAGTGTTACTTAGCACACATTCTCCTTAAAAGTTAATGCATATCTATTTAATTGTTATTATAGTCGCAATGCCTCTCACTTGGGTTGCCATGGAGTTGTTCTTTGTTACTGTTTGATATGAGTCATGATGCATGTTGAGCCTTTATGTATAATAAATAAAGCCAGCCCACCAAAATCTATATAATTCTATACCAGGTTTGATCACTGTGTCTTCTTTATCAAGCTCCTCATGCCTCCCTTCTTCAAGGATCGAACTCGTCCAAAACCATACAACTGCTGCTACATTGCTTGGGATAGGCGATCTTGAAGACACGCCATATAAAGATGACCACCAATTTGGACTTATACCGAGGAAATTCTCTATAATTATAAAGGTGAGTTATTCAACAACTTCTGACTCCCTTTCTCTCCCACACAGCAAGCTGATTTACACCTCCAGCCTTTCTTATACCTTGTGAAGGCCTGTCCATGCCTCATCTCTCGGGCCGCAACCACCATGCACTGGTGGACGCCTAGCAATTAGCCTTATTGGCGAGGCTGTTCAATCTTTGTAAACCCCCCAGAAAGCGGGTTTGCTAGACACCGGAAAGAGGCAGCAACAGCTGGACATTGTGAATGTTTGTCAAATGCTTTCAAACTGCACAAACACAAACAATCAAAGCGAGAGTGACGTCTCTCCCCCATCCCCCTCTCCTCGCATCAGCCGAGCTCAATCACCGTTCTTTCTTCCTCTTTCACTTCGCCGTTATATCTCCAAGCTACTTGAGTCTCGAAATACGATGTTGGTCGTTTCAGGTCATCAGCAGGCAGAGTTTCCTTGAGCCTCGATTTCGGGGTATATCTCTCTCACTTCTCTTTCAGGGTATATCTCTCTCACTTCTCTTTCATGGTTATCTGGTCTCTTACACCTCATGGAATTTACACCCCCCCCCCCCCCCCCCGATCGCCCGATAAATACAATGAGCACTTTGATCGATGACTTCTCAGCTTTCATTCCTATATTTTACCATTATACTCAGCCTTCCTCCAAATATTGCCGCGGATTCCTTTCACAATGATCGGGAAAAGAATCAACGCAAGAACTGCAACAATGTCCGGTCTTCCCCTTCTTCTAATAGGGGATGGGCGGATGCATCTATCACAATATGATACCCATGGTAGGTCCTGAATAAATTTGCTGTCTAATATTTTGCCTCAACTGACAATAACTCGACAGCTACAGTTCAAGCCCATGACCTGATGCTTATCCATACGCTATATATTGGACGCTAGCACGCACGCTATCGTTCTCACCCTATCCAACAGCAACATCACATACTATTTGCAGACCCAGGAAGACACGACTTGATCCTTGGACGAATGTGGTTCGCAGAACATGACCTTCTCCTTGATTGTCGACGACACCGAATGATGGAAGATTTTCAGTCCATACGTTTGTCACCAGCATCACCCACAAGTGCGTGCATGACGCTAGAGTCGGAAGTTGCAGCTACAGCAAGTGATGCGTTGTTTCCGCTGCAGCTGCGGCCGATGTGGAGATCACGGAGAAGAAACAAAAGACGAACAAGTAGTGATTGAATCGTTACTTTGGCTCCTGAACTCCCTTGTGGTACATCCACCCGATATGCATCGTTTCCGGTCTTTGTTTCACTCGTCGCCCAATAAGGCATTCTTCAGTGACAAAGTGATGGCTGCACTCACGGGTGGATAGATCGTCAGAGGCTCTCCTGCAATCGCGGACCTCCGGTGGGATTTTTTGGAGAAGGCTTCTTCACTTGATAGGCTCGAACCGAGCACCAGCGCAGGCGTTGGCGGGAGATAGCATTGGTACCGATATGAAAGCTATCGTTATAGCAAACTACCTTCGCCGAGAGGCTCGCTATCGTCGAAGTCAAGCCAGGGGCACGAAATCGTGCTGCTATGGTATGGACTGGAAAATCGACCTGTTCATCAGCTCCCGGCACCACGACTGTTCCCCTCCTCACCACAAGCAATCAATCATGGCGCCCTTGGTTAAATATGCACACTTACTATAGCCACATCGTCCCTAATGGAGGCAGCCGAGGACTATAGCAGCGTGTTCCAGACCATCGGATGCACGAACAAGGGTGGAAATTTCATCAGCTCCGTGGTACGGAGGCACGACAGCGTGATTCGAGAGAAAACGGGGCCTGGAACTCAACTGGCGGCTGTCTCCCTGGTATTCGAGGGATCCCTTCTTGCGAAGGACCAGGTCATCATTGGCGAGTGCCTGCTAGTGATGGTGCAAGTTCGAAGGCCTGGAAGAACACCTGGAAGAAGGATGTTACCGCGTTGGTACATGAGGTGTGCGCATAAACTTCATCGGGCCTGTAACTTATTGCTCGCCGGGATTAGGGATTGGAGAGAGTGAGAAAATCGAACATCTTTCTGTATCACTGTTTCAGCCTGCTGATAGGCTTGGTTTTGCTACGGATAAGCCAACATGACTCCTTCCGGTGATCAAGAGAGATACTTCGTCTGTCCAATCCCTGGTCCCTTGCTGGTCAATCTCAACCTTCATCTCAGCTGAAATCACTCCCTGCGACTCTGTCATGGACGGTTCAAATCGCTGGCGTCGCCGATCCGATTCTATGGACGGATTCGCCCTCGTTAGGGCCAGGCCAAGAAATACGGAGTTCGGAAGCGGGAACGTGGTGACCGGCAAAGAATTCCACTGCCGTCACGCAGATGGCAATTAACAATGCGGCGTGGGAGTCAAAGATGGCCAACTTCAACAGTGGCAGACTTGTTTTTGGAAACACCATCCCTCTCAGAAAGGAAAGATCTATCGTCGGGCTCCTGAGCCCAAAGCCAAAGAAAACATCAATAGCTTCAGCACATGCTAGAACCCGGTTCCTTCCTGGTCACGCGCTGTTTTTCGGGCATTTTGACCCCTTGGGTTTCGCGGAGGATTGGACCAGCAAGAGCCAAGAACCTTGAGACTTGCAGAAGATATCCTGGAATGAGACCACGGACCTGAGATGAAAGGCGTTTTAGAATTGAAAGATGCAGCGTCAATTCGACGCTTTGGTCAAGCTACCGAAGAGCACGCGAATGGGACCATAGCTGATTCAGACCTTGGCCAAGGTAGTCACTCCCTCCCCCCGATGAGCCAAACAAAGGGACAACCTATCCCGACCCAGTATATCGAGTCTTCAAAGACATCGCTCAGGCGCCGGGCTTCTAGGGAACAGCGCCCAGATAATCCCCTGGGGTGTCACGATCGGGACTCATTCGAGAGTCGTTCTTTCCCTTTCGAGGTCGTTGGTTGGTCGTTCCTTCCTTTCCGGGGGAAGTCATTCTTTCCCAATGGACAAGCGAGAGTATGGCAAAGCCCACAGGGGCATAAGGACCCCACCATTGTCCTGAGTTCCTTTTCCTTTCTTTCTCTTCCCCATGTTTATTGTTCTCGTTAGAATGCACTCTTTTCTGTATAAAAGCCCGGCGCGTAACATGGTTCTCAGGAGGGTGGGTCACACCCAATCGCCCTGGCGTTTGTGAAAAGAGCAACATCACCGGCAAGCAGAATCTCATGTCGTTACCAGAGCGACCCATCGCGACAAGAATATCCTGGTCAGTCTTACTCTCGATGGTCGACACAAGGACGCGACAAAGGAGTTTCAGGAGATCATTCAAAATCTCCCGGGCCATCTGGGCGTCAAGCTTGTTGACGCCTACGAAACAGATGCTTCCGCCCTTGTTCTGGTCAGGATAAGCATGGAGGTGTGGGCCCATTTCAGCCATCACCTTGACCTTGATTTCATTGGTAAGGCAACCAAAGGCAACCGCCAGGAACCTTGCTGCGCCCTTTGCATTGAAAGTTGTTCATCTGCCCTTTCAGCCAATTCCAGTCTTACCGCTTTCTTATGATGGTATTTGGTCGTGCGTTTGGTAGGTCGCAAGGAAATTGGCTCTCTTGTGTTGTGTGGTGATGTTATCCCAACCCTCGCTCCTGGACGTGTACGGCGGTTTTTGTCTATCAGTATCCATATAAGACTCAACGAATCCACTCTTTGTTGGGAACATCTGGCAAGTAACAGTTGTAGATGCCAACGCATAGACACAGCCTAGTATATATTTTCGTTGAGAGTAAGAAATGATGAGATTGGGCAGGAAATCGGGACATGCAACTAAACTGCGCCACATCGGGTGCATGTCACACCCGGTGCTTAGCCCTAATATTCGAGGATTTCTCTAATATTTAGGGGATATCCCGGGATACCGGGTTACGAGATCGTCGGGTCAGTAGATGTATGTACCAGCATCATGTACAGTTCCTGGAACCCTAACTTTACAGAAAGTCAGATCTTTGGTCTCTCGTTGTGCTATGGCTACAACTGAATTAGAGTCCCTGGAATAGATAGTGATAATATCTTAACTTTAATGCTTTCAACTGCCCCAAGTGCTAATGAACCCCGATCCCTGTCAGTAGACGGTTAGGCTTTTCGGATTTATCTTCCATTGCCATTGTCATCGGCCAGCTGCATGAAAAAAAGGAACGGGAAATAGTACGGTGAATAGGGAAAATATGAGAATAGACATCATAACGTGCCGATCTCTCGTATATTCCCAGTCAGCCTCACTGCATCCTCATCCTATTGGTACGGTTGGCCACGGCCTGCAGCATGATAATACTTTTAAATGATAATAATCCTTCTGTCGCTTTTGTTCCCAACATGCTAGAACCTCTCTGAAACGGATACTAAGAATCCAACAATAAAAATGATGAGTTCCCTGCCAAGGAGCCTGAGAGCCCAGAAACCCGGGGTTTTATGCTCAGCCCGCTAAAAACGCCACGATCATATAGTTTCGTGGAGATTGCGCTTGTCTCATCTGATGTGAAGCTGGAGTCGATGCAAAGATCTAGATCCTGGCCTTATAGGATCTAAGCCAGGTTATCTAGGACAAACCTAGGGTTCGGCCGAACCTGTTGCGTCACTTTCCCCGGGCCTCTTTTATAGGTGTAGTCTCCAACGGTGTGACGTCGAGTGAATCTGACCGCTGCATACCACAAATCACATCGACTCGGATTTTATAAATACTCCATGCTGCATCGGCTCAAGACACTCACTTAGCATTTTCTAGATCTTGTCTCTGCCTCCCCAACGCTTACTCTCTACATCCAGACCCAGATCGGTGATTATACGCAAGATGGCGTGGCCAACACGCAACAACATCCCAAGTATCTCGGAGTCCGCATTTCCGTGGTCTGGCATTGCGTTAAGGGATTGGACAGACGAGTATCTTCTCACCTCTCCATCCACTGATCCATCGCTCACCACGAGAGCGATCACCCCTCAACCTCTTTCATACAACTATCAGCTGCAACCTCCCTCGACACAGCCCCCCTTCGCCTCCTCGTATTTCCCCTCTACACCGGTTATCCCCAGCAGAATACTCTCTCTCACTCCCTCCCCATCATATCTAGACCCAGGCACCATCAGCCGGTCTACCAATCACAGCCCGACATCCGTTTCATCCCAAGCAACCACCGCCGTACACTCCCCAGCAAGCCTGTACGACACCAGATGGGATGATCTCCCCGTTTCGGCACCTATAATAAAAGAGCCGCTTCGGCAGGATGATGCCGGCATAGAGCCTAGCCGGACGAAAATGCCGTGTCGATCCCGTGGCCCTGCAGCCAAGAAGTATGTATTTTCTTTTTTCTTGTGTTCTAGGACTATCGTAACCAATGTTCTAAACGTGCTTCGCTTCATCCAGGGGTGACGATGACTACGGGACTTTCGAATGCAAATGGGAGGGCTGTCGATATGACCGTCTGTTCTCGCGCAAGGGAGTGCTCATGCGACACATCGAGACTCAGCATGTCACTCCGCGCGCTTTTGAGTGTCCGTCGTGTGACCATGCTTCGAGTCGACGGGAGAATTTGAAGGCGCATAGGCAGGCGGTTCATAGGGAGAGTTTGTAAGATTTATGATGGAATTTTGGTGTTGGGCATTTCGGTTTAGGATACTTGGTTTGTTTTGTATACTTGGAGATATATACTTCGGCTAGAGTGGAGTTCGGATTGGGTTTTATGTTGGCATATACTTTCTACATCTTTTTCCTGTGGGTTTATTTAGACAATGAAAATGGAGAATATCGGTGGGATTTTGCTTTACATCGTAGAATTATAACATCGAATCGATATATACTGATACTTCGACATGGGGATCCACATCACAACCTGGGGATCTGGCCATACAGGCTGGGTGCTAGAGTTACTGATTTTGAATACGAGCTGTTTGTCTGTTTATCCGGTGCCATGGAGTATAATTATATTCGCAACAATTCGCAACAATGCCATGGTAGTTTGGAGCCAGAGCAGAAATGCAATTTCTTCTAGAACAAAAAAACGGAAGCCGGACGCACGAAGAAGCGGATCGATTGACCGGTCTGTTGAAATTTGAAATGGTATGGAATTTGGTGCGTTTAAGCGTCAGATACAAAATGGGAGAAGTGACGCTGCGCGACCAGACACATCATGCTCGCCAATTGTAAGAACAAGGAGAAATATCGAGACGAAGCTCGTTCCCAGTATCTTGGGCCGACACAGCTATGAAAGTGTAATTTTTTGATTCGTAGGGCTTTGTTGGCCCTGCCTTCTCCCATGAACAAAACGTTATCCACCCGCCAACTCCATCACCTCAAATCAACATCGGCTCGTTCCGTCGACTTTTCCTTGCCTGACCGACCGTCTGTGCGAAGAAGGGAATCGCCCACTGAAAACAACACAAAGAAGCCGTTTAGATGTTGGAGGGGTAGAGCATGACACGGACGGTGGCGCCGAGGGACTTGGGGGGGAGGTTGTTGCGGAACTTGGCGCGCACAACACCGGAGTTGCCTGGAAAGAGTCAGATACAGGAAATTCGAGTTCGAGGTTTCTCCCAGAGGACCATTCGAATATGGCCATGGAACTGTCTGTTGTATTCACGTACCGTGCGACCGGGTGACCTTGCCCCAGATCACCCGAATGTTGGAGCCGCGGACCTCACGCTTAGCACGGTAAACGAAAGCGACCTTCTTGCCGAGGTAGAACTTGGCGGACTTAGTGTCATCAACACCCTCAATCTTGATCAAGCTGTATAACCATATCAGATTTCCATCCGAGCATTCAATTTGGGTGCGCAGGGTGTAGATACCTGGTGTTGGGGGTGAGGGCGTGCTTGCTGCGCTGGAAGCTCAGGTGACGTCCCCTGTAAAAAGAAATTCGTATTAATTCTCTGTTCATATCGTGTGGTGCTTCGATTTGAGTGGCGATGTCTTGGGTCCCCCAAATCGGTCCTCCATGTCGAACTTGTGTGTCCTTGAATGCGATGAAAGTGCGGTGGTAACTTACTTGACGTAGACTAGAAAAGAAGAAATCGTTAGCATATATGTCTTTTATCCAGTGTGCGACCACACAATGTGCCTGCTCGAGATGCGGCTTTGCGATTTCGAGACCGCCAAAACGACGATCGATAAGACATCGAGGGATTCACTCACGGCGGTGTCCTTGTTCCGAAGGCATTGTGTCGGCGTTTCTGTGGGGAGCGGGCAAGGAAAGAAAGTCGAAGGAATGACCCGCAAGATCAAAAGTCGTTCCCGTTTGTCGTGGTTGTCGTCGCTTCGATAGAGTCAGGCGCACAATCAATTTGGGCAGCCGTGTGTTGGTTTTCGCCCTAGCCCAAACGGGATCTTAGCGAGCCACCGACCACGTGACGCATCAGGGCTAAGCGAGATCCCGTGATGACACACCGCTCTCTTACATCAGCGATTAGATAGGCAGAATCTGGGATGAGATAAGCTTGGGGATTCTTGTTTCTCCGCTCCGCGCCCTCGAGGTCATTTACCGACCATTTACCGCCTGTACTTTCCACTGCCACTCGGGCTACAGTAGTCCGAACGACACGTCCAAGCTTCAAGCCTGGAGCTTCCCAGCTGACAAACTCCAGCCATGACGACAGGGGTTCCAACCTTCAAAGTTGGAAGGTTTCATTCAGGAAAAAGCAAATTGCAGAGGGTATTGTCGGCAGGTCTAGGGAGTGAATAATTGTTTTTATCCAACCTAGCCAGTGTCCTTGAGAACATCGAAACAATCATATCTCCAACTGATCACCAGTGACAGTGACATGATCCGGGTAGCGTTCCGGTCCATCATATACTTCATCCAGACCGAGACCACTGATTGGGAAATCTAGAAGTTCCTGTATCCTGCCCCACCGCGATTACATTTGGGACCGTATGTATCCATGGATGTATTCATGAAAACTTGGACAATTTTCAAGAGACCGAGAGACAACCGATCGCGTAGAGTATAGACAGGGTCGTATAATATTGGTATAGCCCTAAGTAGCAACGGTTAATAGTATGTTCCGGATTGGGAAGAATTAGAGATGGGGTTAATACCAGTCCCAAACCGGACTTAAGAAAGTGGCCTCTCGCGGGAAAATAGAATCCGTCTGGGTCCAAAAGTCCAAATGACCAACATGCCGATCCATCCCCCACGATTTGGGTCACCGGTACAACGAAGTCTTATCAAGTTGCGTGCTCGAAGGTATTGTATTGTGTTCGGTACGCAGTACTTTCATTAGATACACTGAAGGATTTTAGTGGACACTGCAACCTTACCCTGATGCGATAGCTTCTTTGCTCCGCTTTGAATACAACATACATGCATACTATACGAGGGTATACGGGGTAGACCGCAAAGTTGTGCATACTATAACTAACAGTACGGAGTAACTCCGGAGTAACTACTTACACTATTAACATAAATATAGGACAGTGTTATGGACACGTCTTACTCTATATTCGAATTTAGCCTCTTTATATAGATCCGCATTTATAAGTAAACCGCACTTCTTATCAGATGACCTCTCTGGCCTGTTATTAGAATAAGAATAAGCGGCAGGCTCATGTCCGATATTATTGACAATTGACCCGAGGTACTTTGTATTACCCCGAGGCCGAATCAGTTCTGTATGTTGTATAGACTGATAGTAGGCGTGGGGTTGATAATCATCACGGGTAAGATCCGGGCTAGATTTCAGTAAGAATGACCATGAAGATCTGACAGAAAGAACTTGATATAAGAAAAGTGACTGAATTCGCCACGAGGCTAGGGTAGGTCGGCATCGAAATAGTCATGGTAAATATCAGAATCAAGTAGATTACTCAAAACCATTTTGTATTTGAAGTCATAAAATACATCAATACCCAGCCAAAGCCCCACCAGCCGAAGCTGTGTGAGTAACTTCCTTAAAAAAGTACTCCGGTCCTGTTGGAGTTCTCTACAATATTTCTCTTTCTCTTTAAACTCCGCTCGACTTTTCTTCTTCACTTTGTGTATTAGGCGGTTGGTGCAAGATGTCTGTGATTAACAAAACTGATGACCGTCATGGTGCTGGGTGAGTTTCCCCTCTTGCGTCTCTGACATCACTCTTTCCACGGTTGCGGAAGCCCACCGGCTGCCTCCAGCTCAATTCAACCTCAACTTATCCCCTCAACATTGTGCTATTGTGGACGTTATTGCCTTCTTCCCCATAGTCGATCCCTCCCTGGAACGCTTTTGCAGAATTTCTGTGCTCAGAGAGCTCCCCCGCTCAACCCCTCGATTCCGCGTCCAATGCAAAATTCTTTCTCAGTCAATTAAACGCAACACTGACAATGGAGATGGCATTCAGCACCGTCGAACTTAAAGATGATACCATCATCGTGGTACTAGGCGCATCTGGTGATCTGGCGAAGAAGAAGACCGTGCGTACCCCTTCCATAGGTGGTGATGACTCTTGACGTACTGACCAGCTTATAGTTCCCTGCACTCTTTGGCCTTGTATGTGCTATTTCCACCGACCATCCACCGGTGATCCACTGACAGTTATGGCCTAGTTCCGCAACAAATTCCTGCCCAAGGACATTCATATCGTCGGATATGCGCGGACAAAGATGGACCACGACGAATACCTCAAGCGCGTTCGCTCGTACATCAAGATCCCCACAAAGGAGGTTGAGGATCAATTAGATCAGTTCTGCAAGATGTGTTCCTACGTTTCCGGCCAATATGATCAAGATGATTGTTTCATCAACCTGAACAAGCACCTTGAGGAGATCGAGAACCAACGCCAATCGAAGGAGCAGAACCGCGTGTTCTACATGGCACTGCCGCCCAGTGTCTTCACCACCGTGTCCGAGCAGCTGAAGCGCAACTGCTATCCTAAGAGAGGTCTCGCTCGCATTATTGTGAGTTTCTCGGGACAAGCTGCCTAGAACGAACCTCGTATTGATACGCCTACTCTTTCTTATAGGTCGAGAAACCCTTCGGAAAGGACCTACAGAGCTCGCGCGACCTCCAGAAGGCTTTGGAGCCGAACTGGAAGGAGGAGGAGATCTTCCGTATCGATCACTACCTTGGTAAGGAGATGGTCAAGAACATTCTAATTCTGCGATTCGGCAACGAGTTCTTCAACGCTACATGGAACCGCCGCCACATCGATAACGTTCAGGTATGTGAAGCGATCTCAGTCCGAAGTTCGGGTTCTAATACCGGCTACAGATTACATTCAAGGAGCCTTTCGGTACCGAGGGCCGTGGCGGCTACTTTGATGAGTTCGGTATTATCCGTGATGTTATGCAGAACCGTAAGTAATTCAGCACACTGAATGGATATAGAAAGATGCTAACATTTGATAGATCTGCTGCAGGTTCTCACACTGCTCGCCATGGAGCGCCCCATTTCCTTCTCTTCCGAGGATATCCGTGATGAGAAGGTCCGTGTCCTTCGCGCTATGGACGCCATTGAGCCCAAGAACGTCATCATCGGCCAGTACGGCCGCTCCCTCGAAGGCAGCAAGCCCGGTTACCTCGAGGACGATACTGTGCCTAAGGATTCACGTTGCCCGACTTTCTGCGCTCTGGTTGCATACATTAAGAATGAGCGTTGGGACGGCGTTCCCTTCATTCTCAAGGCCGGAAAGGCCCTGAACGAGCAGAAGACCGAGGTCCGCATCCAGTTCAAGGATGTCACTTCCGGTATCTTCAAGGACATTCCCCGTAACGAGCTTGTCATCCGTGTTCAGCCCAACGAGTCCGTCTATATTAAGATGAACTCCAAGCTGCCCGGTCTCTCCATGCAGACAGTGGTTACCGAGCTGGACTTGACCTACCGCCGTCGCTTCTCCGACCTCAAGATCCCTGAGGCCTACGAGTCCCTGATCCTGGACGCCTTCAAGGGCGACCACTCCAACTTTGTCCGTGACGATGAGTTGGATGCCAGCTGGCGTATCTTCACTCCTCTCCTGCACTACTTGGATGACAACAAGGAAATCATCCCCATGGAGTACCCCTACGGTGAGTTTTCCCTTTTCGTTCGTTTCTAACTCTAGCTAATTCATGTTCCAGGCTCCCGTGGACCCGCCGTTCTTGATGACTTCACTGCTTCATACGGCTACAAGTTCAGCGACGCCGCTGGCTACCAGTGGCCCGTCACCACCTCGGCCCCCAACCGGCTGTAGGTCTTCGGAGTATAGCTGTTTACGATGATTATGGGAAGCGGATTGGGATACAAAGGAATTAAAATCTCTATTTTCTGACTCTGGTTGGTTGGTCGGCCGGCAGGCAGGAGTCGCGTCATACTGTGATACTTAGGTTTTCGAGACCAATTCGAATTAGAATTGGATGCAACGCAAGAAAGATACTTACGCCCTTATTTTGTTCGGTGGATATGTCCCTTTATCTTGGGATTGCTATAAGATTAGCTGTCATCCACATATTTCTATCTTTTTTTTTAATATGTACGGACTACAGTAAAAGTACTTGCCTACCAGGTAGGCTATCAAATCAGCCCCTGTAGCTCTTTTGCCCAATGCACGTACATTGCACATTGTTATATCCCGTGTCTTCGTATAATTCCCCTATGTTTCTAAAATTGGCGCACAGGGCCCTGAATTACGTCACCACACGGGCCAATCAGCAGCAAAGGGTCCATCCCAGAGGCTGACATAAGGCGACCCAGCCCTTGGCTGCAAGCAACAATAACTGGAGAGCAAAGAAACCTAAAGCATTGAAAGTGGAAACAGAACCCGTACACAGACAACAAATAAAAGCCCTGGACCCTAGCTGTCGTAACAAAAAACCCGGATCGGCAGAGAAGGGCTTGAAGCCCAGCGGGTCTGTCTCGTAAATTAATTAAATCGATAAGGCCGGGGCCCGCATAGAGGCGCTGCGCTCAGGCCAACGCCGATTTTCTCTCCTTCTCCTTCGAACTGTTCAACGTCTTTCTGAAATCCACCATAGACGCCTTTCGACGACATAGACGCCCACCGATACCCCCGGAGCAACCCACGCATCCTCCCCGCTCTCCGCGCCGTCAACGAGCGACGAACCCGCGACGTACCGTGCGCTGTTTCAGCCCCCCGCGAGCTGGCCCCGAAAGAGCACGCGACTCAATTCCTAATTCTCCGATACGAGCGGACTACTGCCGGCCCCTTTCTTGGTCCTCGGAACGTATTCCCGGACCGGACCTGAACCTGGACTGCTGTATCGTGCGTTCTACATATTTGTCTGGTTCTGAATTGCGCGTCGCGACGAGCTTCCTGTCTGGCGCTTTCGACTTTCGAATCGGTAATCGGTATTCTGTCACTGGCTGGGCCGACATAGACATCAGCGCACTTTGGGTTTGGTACCGGTGCAGGTGCATGAGCGCGGACCCGTTGAGTGCGTGCTAGCGCGTGGATAATCAGGATGCCGCAGGCTGCGAGGTGGGCGGGGACGCCCTCCATCAAGGGCCGGAATCAGTCTACGAGGATGGCGCTTTTGACGTTTAGTTTGGTCGGATTGCAGTGCGTATCGTCCCTCTCTGTTTCGGCGTTTGGATATATGGATGTAGATGTTGCGCGACATTCCATTGTCTAGCTTGCGTCTTTTTTTTTTTTTTTGGAGGCAATCGCAATCGCAATTGGAGGATTCCATGGATCGTTGTGTTGTGTCTGTGGCTGACTTTGTGTTTTCTAGGTTCACGTGGGGTACTGAGATGACTTGTAAGAGCTATTCACATCCCGTTCCGGATAGTGCTTAGGTGCTTAGGGAATGATCGCTGACTTGATCGCTGCTAGATTGTACACCTTACCTTCTTCAGCTCGGTCTGACGAAGTCTAAAACTTCGTTGGTGTGGATTGCTGGCCCGTTATCTGGGTTGATTATCCAGCCTCTTATTGGAGTTATTGCTGATCGATCACGATCGAAATGGGGTCGGCGTAGACCTTTCATGATCTTTGGGTCGTTTGTTGTCGCCTTCTGTCTGCTTGTCTTAGGGTGGACGGCTGAGATTGTTGGTTTATTTGTAAAAGATCCGGAAAAGGTATATATCGTGTTTATTGGAACCCTCACCTGGCTAAGTCTATTTACGTGGAAGCTAATATTGATTTTCTACAGGCTAAGAATGGCACAATTGCCCTGGCTGTAGTGAGTATTTATGCGGTGGATTTCTCCATCAACGTTGGTAAGTGGCACATGTACTCGCACTAATTGAAGGTGGCTTACAATGTCTCAGTTCAAGCATGCTGTCGCGGTCTGATTGTGGATACGCTACCGATTCCATCGCAACAAGCTGGGTCCGCATGGGGTATGGCGCTTCCCCATATGTCTCCGCCCAAAACACACTGACCTTTCTTTAGCCGGGAGAATGTCCGCCATTGGCCAGCTCTTTGCTTATGTGGTTGGTGCTATCGATACCGTGAGCATCTTTGGTACTTTCCTTGGAGATACGCAGTTCAAGCAGATGACAGTGATCGCTGCTTTGTCGTTGGTGTTGGCTGTGGCAGTCACTTCATACTCGGTAAAAGAGCGAGTTCTTATCTCGGCAAGGTGGGTTGAACTCGACCGATTATTATTGTCATCAACTAATGTTTATGATAGGGATGACGGAAGTGCTGGTGCTATTCAGGTCCTGTCCCAGCTGTTCAAAACTACTTTCGAACTACCGCCTCGCATCCAAGCAATTTGCTGGGCCCAGTTTTGGGCTTGGATTGGTATGAAATTCTGCATCTACTAGGAAATCAACAAACTAACACTAACTAGGATGGTTCCCCTTCCTCTTCTACAGCACGACCTGGGTTGGTGAAACATACTTCCGTTATGAAGTACCAAAAGACGACATGGCCAAAGCAACCGATATGCTTGGTGAAGTCGGCCGCGTGGGCAGTCTATCATTAACGGTCTTCTCATCCATCACAGTCCTCAGCTCTGTACTCCTACCCTTTTGCATCATGCAGCCCGATAGCAAGCGGACACGCTTCACCGCACGACCCCCGCCAAAGGTCGCAGCGGTTCTCAAAGCCATCAGCGCAATCCGACCAGACCTCCAAACCGCCTGGCTGATATCCCACGTCATGTTCGCCGCCACAATGATATTCGCCCCTCTAGCACACTCGCGCGCCTTCGCAACCTTCCTAGTAGCAGTATGCGGTATCCCCTGGGCAATCAGCGGCTGGGCCCCCTTCGCCTTCATGGGCGTAGAAATCAACAAACTAACAATGGGCGGCTATTCCCCCGCAATCCCATCCTCACGATCCGGCGTGACAATGATCACCTCCGCCAGCCTCCGCAACTCCGCCGCCGACACCGAGCTGGATGTCCTCCGGCTGAACCACCACGATTCCACCGACAGCGACACCGACGAGGAGGACCGCGCCTCCAACATCCCGTCAACAGGCGAACTGGCCGGCATCTACCTGGGCGTGCTGAATGTGTACACGACGCTACCCCAATTCGTCGGCACCTTCATCAGCTGGATCGTCTTCAGCCTCCTCGAACCAGGCGCCGAGCCCGCGGCCAACAACAGTTCGGACACGCAGTGGATGAACCTGGACAAGGAGAGGTATAACGCCATCTCCATATGTCTCTTCATCGGGGCAATAAGTGCTCTCGTGGCGGCTGAGGCTACCCGTCGTCTGCGGTTTATACTATGAGCAAGCAGTGCAGAGCGAAAGCTGCGAACGCTGCAGAATTATGATCCGTTGCGATGAATTGCTATTGATTTTTGCTCGATACCCGGTGTATATTGCATGCGAGCCTTGTCTTGGCTTGGGATTGTGTGTTTGTGTACACGCAGAGAGAGTCTATATGTATAGCGACCTGGGCCTTTCGTCTGTCTCCCTAAAAGGAGTTTTTGTCGATTTTCTTTTTTGGTTTGGCTTCTGCACATACATAATACATAGGGCTGTGCTATAGCGAGCCCTCTCCCCCCCTCCCCCCTTTGGATGACATCTTAGGTGCACCTTCCTAATTGGGTATCGCTCCTGCCTTAGTCAAACACCCATATAATGTGGCAGGTACCTATAATTTGTATGTATACACCTAACGAAAATAAGTCACTCCTGTCAAATCTTATTCTACGGGACTCGCTTCAACTGCTTCCCCGTGAAGGGGTTTAAACATAGGAATCAGGTAGATGGTACGGAGTACAATGTAGAAGAGATAATACAAAAACACAAGTTCGATATATACTGGACTAAGATAAATTAGGAACATAACTATTACGGGCGACTAAGTAACTATGTCTCTCATTGGATAGCATTAATACTGCTTGTTTTCATGATAGATACCTGAAGTAAGCGTCAATAAGCTTTGTGGGGGAGAGGAACGGTAGGGACAGGGTTTTGGAGACAGACTTGAGAGGACAGTAGAAGGAGGGGAAAAAAAGGCAAAAAAGGACATTCCCATCCAGTGCCTGGGGTTATACTCCCAGGTCGCCACTTAGGGGATCATAATGCTTAAGTAACCCCAACCAGCTTTACCCTAAGATCTAGTCGTCCCCACCTGCGCACACATTGCCGGACCTACTGGAGGTCCTGACCGGCGCCTAAGCAAGGTGGGCCAATTAGGGGAGCATAATTGGAACATTTATGACCGTGCACTGGGTGGGTCGAACGCTGACAGCTAGTACCTAACCTAGCATTTTAAACGCGTGTCAACACACTCAGCCACTGGGGGGAATGTCGGTTAGGAGGAAGGAGTTGCTATGAAATATATAGGAACAATCACTTCCTAAAAGGGAAGGTGGGTCCACTCCACCACATTGCTTATCACGTGATTATGTCTGAATGTACATGAATATTGCTTGGCAGTAATTTAGTCATCCACCATAACTAGTTACCTACTAGTTAGTAACTAGTTAGTTACCTAGTTAACTAACTAACTACGTAGTTAACTACCCTTCTCGCCAAGGAACCGGGTATTGAGACCTTGTTACCTGAATTTGGACTCATAGACTTTGGGAGCGGAGGGAGTGGAGGGAGCGGAGTAAATTTGGACCCACCTCAGGCGCCTTAACCTTAACTTCTCTTTGACAGTATCTCTACGTGATAGATTATTTCCTAGCACATTCAAGACAAAACACCCAACTCACTTTTAGTATAGACATCTACCTCACTTCTTCTTTTCTATTATGGCATACACTTCTAACCTCGATGATTGGAGCATGAGAAGAATGCTTCAGCTTAGCTGTGGCTCTGAGCAACGCAATCACCATCCTGGACCTTCTAATACTACGCAACCACCTGCCTCTACGGTCGGACAGACACCGGTATTATCTACATGTTGGCCTCTTTGCAACCATTGTCTGAGCCATGCCTCCGCATCTCTCGACCCCAGTTGGACTATGCATACTCCACTATCTGCCTCTACTGTCGGAAAGCCACCTCTACCCTCTGCGGATTGTCCTCTTCAAACCCCTTCTATGAACCATGCCTCTGCATTTCTTAACCGTGGTTGGGATACGCAGACTTAACCATCTGCCTCTCCTATTGGACAGGGATCTGTACTCTCCGCGGGTTGCTCTCTTCATGTATCAGCCTGGTGCCGCCTCAGTAGCGTGAGCACGTGTGATCACTTGTTACCTATGACTACATCATTCGGGCACCAATTGGGCACCAATTGGGCATGTGACAATAATTACTCTATCAAGTAATTTTGGTCTTGGCGAGCCTGGAAGACTGAGAAATTACTCGAAGCAGTGATTCTTGGTACGATGTGCCAATGCACGTGACCTCATCAATAAGATAAAGGAGGGGTGTACCCCCTCTTCGTAGATGTGGATTATTATTTCGGGTAACAAAATGTTCGGTCGATTTCGAGTAATTGTTAGTCGGCAGCCTGAGACCCTTCCTATTGATGCTTCGCTTGCTTCCCGAATGGGAAGTGCCATCTTTGTGCCTTCGGTGGGTACTGAAGTAAGAGTACATCATCGATGGTTTTATTTGATATATTCTCGATGCAGTGTGCAGTCGAAAAGTCAATTCGAAGAACTCTTCTGTGGTATGTTGCAAAGGAGGGGTGTTCCTATTGCTCGATACTATGGTTGTCGTGAAGAACATGTAACCGAAGGGATTCAGTACCATGTGTTGGTGAAACTTCAGAAACAACCCGGGTGGAGTTGTAAGCATACGTATGCTGTTTTTCGCTTGGAAGGCAACGAGTATGCTTCGTTGAATATCTATATCTCGAAGTCTAGGGATGACGTTTCGTTGTTTATCGCGAAACATGTTGCTTTCATGGAAAAGTTGAAGGGTGGTGATTGTTTTGGACAACGCCCAAAGTTAATGTCGCTGAAGGCATGGCTTGCGAAGCTGGAAAAAGATCATCAAGGTCCGGTGTCCTCGACCGGGCAGTATAGAGCTGAAGACTCTCTCCGTCCCGGTCAAACCACAATTCGGAACCCCAACATTCAAGTCGCTCACGTGGAAGCAGCCTCTGCTCATAGTGAAGACCAGGGACGAGTGTGAGTCAGAATTTCTCATTCTTCCCACTTCATAGTTAGCAGTCTTCCTCTTACCTTAGTTCCGACGGCCGTTTCAAATGCTTCTGGCAGGGCTGCACGAACCACACGACATTTAGCAGCCATTCAACCTTGATGCGCCATATCAAAATACAGCATGTCAAACATCGCTCCATCGTGTGTCCTGAATGTGGTCGGACCTTTGGACGTGTGGATAACATGAGAGGGCACCGGGGAAGACGCCATAGGGTTTTTGATTGAAGTTGATGCTGGCGATGAGGTTTGGATTGAATGTACGCAGGCTTTCGGTTTTTTTTTAAGGTATATAACGTAGGCGATGGAAGAATTTGGGAATTTGAAAATGCAAAGATCATTTATACGGAAGTCTGAGGTCAAACCAAACACAGACGTAAGAGGGGTTATCGGGCCGTAAAGAAGTGTTGCCCGTGATGTGACTAGCATGAATATAGCTTAGCGGTGCGTACTATTTCCGATGTTGTGCTCATGTACCTTTTGTATGGAGTTGCCATATAGAAGATACAGTGCTGGCAACCTCGACACGATTATGTAATGACATTCTGCGCCAAGACGCTAGTCCAAAATCTGCGCACGGACCAGTGGGAGGCTCTGGCACCCCACACATCCTCCCCACACTACCTTAAACCCCTCCCCGTCTACTCCGTAGTGTACTTGAGAATGGAATTGAGCCCACAAGTAAGTCTGTCCAACATTCTTTCTTATTTTGTCGGCTATCGAAAAGGGAACAGAGCCTACGAGGACCTGCTAACGGTTATACACTACCGTATCAAGGAAGATCTCGTTTTGGCCTAGTTATCTGCCAGCAATAGCCGCGATTCGAAGCATATTATTATTGCGGGATGGCTCGCATTATCGAGGAAAGTATTGTTCTGTGTAATTTATCTTTTGGTCTCCCGTTTACGGTGCCATTTCTTGCACACCGTGCATGTTTATCGACTCTATCAATAAAACTTTCGCCGCCACCACGAAGCACCCTTCAATGAACTCCGGAACCAACCTTCTCTTCATTCCCACTGTACATATTCTCCCCCCTTCACCCCTCACTCTATCTTTGGCAAACGGTTTTCTTCAACATCCAACACATTCCAACGGGAGCTCACGACTCGGCCTTCCTTGATGGTTGCTAGCAAATGAACGTCCGGTCGGTCCAAAACGGTGATATCATCCAAGGGGTTTGCGTTCAAGACGAGCAAGTCGGCGGCAAACCCTGGAGCAACCTTGCCCAGGAATTTATCCTGTCGCAACATCCGCGCAGGAGTCGTGGTAGCGCTTCGAAGGACCTCCAGTGGTGTCTGGACAGTGCTCCGAATGGTAAATTCTTTACTTTGGGCATAATGCAGGGGACCTAAAAGATCCGTGCCAAAGCAAATATCAAGCCCAACTTTATTGGCTAGCTCCAGGGCGAGAAGGCCTTTGTCCAAGACTTCACGGTTTTTGCCCGCAGAAACAGGGGGGAGGAATCCGCTGAACTCGGGAGCGGCCATCGTAGCGTATGTCACCAGGGTGGGGGTAAGAAAGACGCCGTACTCCTTCATCATTTCGGCTGTGGCTTTGTCAATGAGATTGCCATGTTCAATCCCCTTGACTCCCTGTCGGATAGCCTGCTGGATCGCCTCTGGCGTATACGCATGGCTGGTAACATACGTCCCCGCATTGTTGGCCACTGTAACAATCGCCTTTATCTCATCATTGGATAATTGAAGGTGTTGGATCTCGTCTGTGGCGCTAGCAACCCCGCCACCACCCATGATTTTGATGAAGTCCGCGCCCTGCCGCAACTCCTCGCGGGTATACTTCAAGCACTGATCAACTCCATCCACGATGCGACCAACCCCATTCACATGCCCTCCACAGCACTCATTGGGATCGTGCTGCTGACGACGATCTCCATGGCCTCCTGTTTGGGAGAGGGCATGTCCGGCAATGAACAATCTCGGCCCGGATATGATGCCTTCCTGGATTGATTCTTTCAAGGCAAAAGACGCTCCTCCACAATCTCGGACCGTCGTGAAGCCACGGTCCAGCATGGACTTGCAAACACCCGGTTGCCGTAGCATACTCTGGGTGCTGCTTACCTCTTTCAGTTCTCGGAGGCTCAAAGAACCAGGTACTGCAGCGATGTGGACATGGCTATCGATCAAGCCCGGGCAGACGTATTTGCCTTTCAGGTCGATTTGTACAGCGTCGGGGTCAACATTGTCGCCAGTCTCTACTCCGGAGGTGTCGACTAATGATACAAGGCCACCGGAGAGTTTGATGGTCGTGTTCTTGATGACTGTTCCAGCGTCAAGGTCAATCAAGTTGGCAGACGTGAAGATGTACGTCCGTTGAGGACCCAGCAGCCAAGGCTTGGCAATACGCTGAAGATCGGGTTTCCGGGCTGTCATGGTGGTAGTGGTAACAAGGAGAAAGACGTAAGCAAGTTATCGATGATCAGGCAAGTTTAAAGATATTGAAGCCTTATTCTTGATTCCAAGGTGGTAATAGGATGAACAAGAAACTTGCAATTTCCACCGCAGTGGGATCAGCTCTTGTATTGTAGACTAAGCATGATCTACCAAATGATAGTCTATCTGGACGTATTACAATTGCCGATAGCGTTGTCTTGGCATCGATACTCGCCATCATTTGACGTGCGGGTACGTGTACCCGCATCCCAAACCTACTTCGGTGGCAACAGAGACCGGCCCTGCGGGTACAAGTACCCGCAGATCTCACCGGCTAATCACCGGGTGCTTGTAAGGATTGGGTATCCTTTGTATGGTGACTCTATACAAAAGGTACATGAGCAACATAGAGTCATCTTCTCGATTTTCTCAACTATCAGACCGGCTTCAGGAAATCTAAAGAGATAAAGATATAGCGAAAGCCTGGTTCAAGTTATCTACCACTAAGATTGATCCTGAGTATATGATATCAAAGTGTAAAGACACTCGTTAGCAATCACCAGATATAGACATCATGTGGAAAAGTTTATTATTCTCTATACTGAATAATCCCACTAACATTGATACTAAGTAATCAAGACGCTGTCTACACTACAACTATCTTCCTACATTCTCCCTAATTAGTTCGAGGTTTATAGATATTGAGACTATGTTTATGTACCTTTTGTATGCAGTCGATATACAAAAGATACCTGCCTCTACAAATGACTATCTGGTGGGGCCCACTATAGATGTGTTGGTGCTTGGCACGATTACAGCCTACCTACCACAGGTTTTATCCTGCCCTATAAACGATTTATTAATAAAACAAACCAATGAAAGATAACGCCAATGCTCAGTGGCTTGGACTAGATGTCGCGTTTCCATAGAGCCAGAAGTGGATCGCACGCACCTACCCACTACATGCATTCACGGCTGTCGAGAGATAAGCCAAATCCGGGGTAGTTTGTCATATATAAAGGCCGGGGTATTGTTCTCCTTTTCCTCCCAGTGATATTTCGTACATCGTGCATGTCCATTCCTTATCCAATTCACTCAGATCATGATGAATCAATCGGATACCAAAACCGCAGATATGCAATTGGACGAATCCAATCCGAAGACTGCTATGGAAACAGGCACTTCGGCAATCCACATTGACCCTGCGATTGAGAGACGGGTCAGGTGGAAGATTGATTTGGTGGTCTTGCCACTGGTAAGCAATTGTCCTTGTTCGATATCATGGGAATGGATGCTGATCGTGAGAGGCTTGAAGATGTGCTTGATTTACTTCTCTCAGTGTAAGTTGTTTCATGTTTTGGTTCCTCTTGCTTTTGGATACCGCTAATATCCCGCATTTAGACCTTGACAAGCAGAGTCTAAGTTACGCTGGTGTGTTCGGATTGATAGATGACCTACACCTTGTGGGCACACAGTTCGCCTGGCTAGGGTCCATCTTCTACGTTGGGCAGCTGGCGTCAGAATTCCCGGCCATCTACTTGATGAGTCGTCTTCCGCTTGCCAAATTTGTATCCTGTCTTATGTGAGTTTCGAGCAATCTCATGATGATTATTCGGGAAATCTGACCGAGTATAGTATACTCTGGGGTGGAGTTTGCATGGTAATTTACCCAGTCACCAACATTTTGTTTGAAGGCATACTGATATCAAGATAGTGTCTGGCAGGAGCAACAACCTTCTCATCTTTCATGGGTGTTCGATTCGCCCTTGGATTGGCTGAAGGTGCGGTCTCGCCTGCCTTTGTGACGCTCACCAGTCTCTGGTATAAGAAAAGCGAGCATCCCATGCGCATCGGGTAGGATATCCCTAATAACCCCCAATCTACCTTTTCTCTATCTAACCATCAAATTCTCAAACTAGTCTATGGATCAGCTGCAACGGGCTGGCTCAGGTCATCGGTGCTCTAATGATGTATGGTATCGGTCACAACACGGCATTGGCCATTGCCCAATGGAAAGCGATGTTCATCATCTGTGGAGCTCTCACGGTCTTCTTTGGAATCCTATTCTTCTTCTTGATGCCCGCTGGTCCCGACTCAGCGTGGTTTCTCACCCCCGAAGAGCGACAGGTAGCAACACAACGATTGCGGGCGGAAACCGAAGGAGGAGACCAGACAACTTTCTCTATCTCACAATTGAAAGAGACAGCTATGGATATCAGAGCATATTTGAGTTTCCTATTTGGGCTTCTCATCACACTACCTTCGCCAGTCATTGCAGTAAGTCGCGTATTCTCTTACAAGAAGACATGTGTGCAATTACTGACTATACTCCGGTGACAGTTCGCTTCCCTTATCATCTACTCTTTGGGCTACACAAATTTCGAAACCATGCTATACACTTCACCAGCAGGTGCAATTCAGATGTTCTTTATTTGGGTCGGAATAGGTCTCTGCTACATTTGGCCGAATCGTCGATGTGCGATCACCATCGGGCTTACAATCATCCCGCTCGTCGGAATCATTCTACTATTCACGCTCCCCTTGTCCTCGGGATGGGGTATGATTGTTGCATCGTGGTTGGTATGTAAATTGGCTGAACCTACACCCTCGTACTTGTACTGAATTTTGCTAATTCTTGTTTTACAAAGGCCTCCGTCATCTCAAACATCTTAACGGTCATTCTCAGTCTAAACGCTTCCAATATTCGTGGAAATACCAAAAAGGCCATCGTCAACGCTTTGTTCTTCGTTGGCTACGCTATCGGTGCTATAGTTGGACCATTACTCTGGAACACGAAAAATGCACCCAGGTATCGCAGTGGTCTCGTATTGGCTCTGGTTAGCTGGCTTGTGTTCATTCCGACCGTCGGGGTGTATTGGTTCACGTGTGCTCGTGACAATAAACGTCGGTCTACAATGGGGATGGATATCTTCGAGTACGCGGAGGAGGTCACTGGAAAGGACTTGACGGACAAGGAAGACAAGAATTTCCGGTATAACCTTTGATTTAATGTGATGTGTTGATGCGGTGGGGAATTGTTTATAAGCAGCTTGTCAGAACTTTCTTTGCCCTTTGTGGCTTTTAGGCCTTGTTGCTTTATTCTTTGTCTCCTGGAGATGAAGCTATTTACTAGTAGTTAAATCATTATCATATTACCCCACTGCTGTTGATCCCTCTTTTCTCTCGGCCACGCAGACACCTACGTGCATCATATAGCATTTTGACAAGTTTAAAAGAAGCAAAAGGATAATCAAGGAGGACAGAATGTTCTGTTGAGATTGAAGTGGAAAAGAAGACGTGGATTTATTTCTAACTGCCGTTCCAATTTTGTACATCACTCGAGTATAGGCTGTCAAGCCCAAGGAGATGTAGCTCTGTAAATGAACAGTCTTCAAGCGCAATCCCTATGTCAGAAAATAGAGCCAGGTTAGGCTCTTCGCCTTCATGCTGGTACATGTCCAATCCTTCGGTAAACGTCTCTTCACGTGGCTCCCCAAGCGGAAGTGGACCAGTCTCTCCCTCAGGGCGAGATTTCCCATTATCCAAACAGGAAATAGACGCCAAGGCTTTGTTGACCACGTTTTGGAAATTGTGGACATACTTGAGGCTATTTCTGGCCAAATCACTGCCAGTAGCCATATATTGCAGAGCGCCCATTGCGGTCCGGACTTTCGGAAACGAGGACAGTCGTGGGTTCAGGATACTATCCAGGAGAACGATGATGGTTGCGGAGCTGCAGGTATGGAAATCAGTGTAAGAGAATAGACTCAGTTGCCCGCGACTTCTGAGCAGATCAATGAGATCGATTATCCGCGCTGCGTGTTCTGCGCAAGCGTCTGATAATTCTTGACTGTCGCCCGCTATGTCAAGGTCGTCTTTTGTGGGCTCTTTCTTGCTGAGTAAGCGTCGCACTTTGTCGATCAGGGCTGCGCGACCGATATAGATCCAGATCATAGAGTAGTGGAGTTGTAAATGCACGTTCAGTCGTAAACAGTTATCGTCCAATGTGGCTAATTGAGCGGGTAGGTCTGCCTTCCAAGCCAAAAGTTGACTTCGGATTTCCTCGGTCGAACCGTGCTTCAAGGACCTATTGACGGTTAGCATACCAGCCGGGAATGTTGTCTGGCTTCCTTCGTCCAGATTACAATAGCCTTCTCACCTTAAGCAAATCACTTCGTTGAGCAACAGAGTCAACCTTGTATTTGCCAGTAGTCTCTCGGCTCTATAGGAGCCCGGAACATCCAGGTCAGGCTGTCGATGAGGAAGGAGGCAGTCGATATCTTTGGTTTGAAGCGTCTCGGGATATCCAAGAGAAAGAGCAACCATTCTGGAATCTTATTAAGAGAAAGATAAGAATCAGGGTTATATAGAAAGCCATACCGTTCAATGCTGTAGGTAGTCCAGAACACACGGTTGTGGAGCTCCGAAAGTGACGGAGATAATGCCGACCTTGTTGATTTTCGATGAAGGCCGAGGCTGATCGCGATGCGCAAAGCAAGCCCAAGATAGGTGTAACAAGTTTCAGTGCTATGAATCGGCAGTACATACAAGGCGAGTAGTAGACAGCTCAGCAGGCCTTCCAGGGAAGGAGAAGCTATTATCTGCGGCACAAGTTTCTGCGCATGTTGGAAGTACCGCGTCCCTGGAATTCCTGACTGAACCACAGTCATGGCTTCCAAGGCAATCGAATTGTCAGTATGGTATAGATGAACGAACTGGCTGCCCATGGCGAAGACAGTTAGGGCCAAACAAATGAACTTGAGACTGGAGTAGGTCGGTGATAGGTCACTGTCATAGAGTTCAAACAGCTGCTTTCTAAACGAGCTTTCGTCGAAATAGTACCAGTTGGCCTCGGCATAGGAGAAAAATGATGCCATGAGAACTTCGGCCCCGGCTCGAGAGGGGAAATCTTTCAAGATCTGCTGTCTGAGGATGATTTCATTTTCACAATATGATTCGTCTGTGGGATAAAAAGTCTGATTGAGAAATAAGTCAGCAATAGGCAGAAGAAGAACCCATTATGAAGTTTTCATGTAACATACGGTATCCTCTGGAAGGTCCAGTCTGTCAGACTGGGAGACTGCAGCAGCAGCGCGTGCGAGAAAATTTCTGTGTGACAGTATATCGTCACCTTCAGTGAGGTTGTCAGTCCGAGTAAGTACACATCTGCGGTTGAATCCTGCCCTACCAGGCGGTTGTCCTTCATTTAGGTGACGTTCCACAGACATAGGTCTAGTTCCATGCTGTGATGAAGGTCTAGTATGCCAAAATGGACTCCTCCGCTTTGAAGAGCGATCTCCAGAGTCTTGGTTCAAGTCCCTGAATATCTCGAAAAGAAAAGATATATGGTGGGCTTTGAGACCGACCTCCGGATATGATTTATTGAACCGTGCTACAACATCGTCATCGATGTGAGTTTGACTGTGCGAATTAGATTGCACCAAATAAAGGGAAGTCCGTGTCTCATGGGCTACCTAGATGATGATTCGGCTGGGCTGTCCTCCCTCGTCTCAAAAATGCAAGTCATACTGCTTTTTCTGCAATTCCAGCATCCCTCGGGCGACTGCAGTGTGCATCGACGCTTACGTAGGCGGCATTGGGTGCAGGCTTTGACAATGCGTTTGCGTTGATCTAAGGGTACTTTAGGGCGGTCGCGTTTGGAGCTGATTTTCCGTAGTGATTCGGACATTTTTGATATATCACCTTATGCATTGTCGTACAAAATGGAGTTTAGTCTTCCCCGGAGTTTGGCTGACCCTATCAATCACGTGATCCATCTTTATCTTATCTCCACCAATCGGCTTAGCTTCCGTAATCGGTATGTAATACATCCTTTAACTAGTTAGTTATGCATGTAGCACTAGTTACATAATTATACATTTTTTACATAACCCCCTTCATGACGTTTCATTGGTCCAGAGCTCTGTTAGCCCTACTAGGATGACAAGTTATCAGATGCTATTCACTCTATAACTAGGTAATACTAAGTGTGCGTAATGAACTGTATACGGGTTTCTTTTATCGCAATTTGACAAAAACCACAGCGCTGCGCCGCAGCGTGCTGCGCCTATGCTCTTGTATTCATATATTCTTCACTGTAGCACCTTTCAACCTCGGCGTGAGGAGCACGCGCGCTGGGAGAATAGGTGTATAAGAATAATCTCGTCCCTTAGCTCTCTTCCTCTTTCTTCTATCTCCCCACCTACACAAGCAGTGTGACCAGCAGGAAGTACATTATATGTGTTACATGCCAGTTAAATTCAAAAGAACGAGTGCATTTTCTCAAGATACTAAGTATAGAGAGAGAAAGGAAAGGAATAATATCTACGAGCTACATTTACCGGGGTTTTTACGAGCTCATTCTGCAAACCATGTAATGACGACAGCTCGCTTAGGTCCACTTCCAATCGAGGAAGGAGCGATTCTGTCAGAAGCGGAAGGTACAGCTGGGGCAAGTAACTAGGAGGTCAGATCGTCACAATATGGCCGACGTGTTCAACCGTGAATGTAAGTCCGACGTCCAACTGTGGTATATAGGTAAGTTTCGTCGCAACATGAACCAAAAGGAAGCCTTCAAACAACTCAGTCACCAGTTCCACACCAAGGGCACGGGAAATATGAAGACCGAGAAGCGTCTCAAACAGATCGACGAAGAAAGAAGCGAGTCTATGAGCACGCTGGAAAGTAGCCAGAACACCAGCATGAACACTGCTGCGCATTTTGATGCTTTCTTTTTCTTTCTTCTCAATGGCCAGATACCAAATTTACGATATCTAGTATATTAACGTACTACATAACGTGCTATTAACTTGTTTCTACTTACCTTAGAGCTCATGTCTATGCAATCGAGCAACCATACCTCCTGACATATCAGTTCTTTGAATGGACATCAGGAGACTTGAGCATGTGAGGTATGACATCATCATACAATTGACATCGGGAGCTGCACATCTTCTGCAGTGGAGAGCTTCTTCTAACAAATCTCATTGGCTCATGTAACAATCTATTGACCTTCCAGGTGGAGTCAATGACGGGATAGTGATACATACATAATGTACATTGTACACTGATGCTGATCATATAGAAAAGCCCAGAGCCACCCTTCGCCCTCAGTCCGACTTAAAAAAGGAAATATTGAACACAATCAACTTATCCCTACTATTACATTTATACGACCATTCAGCTACTCACCAAAATGACACCCAAAGTCCTCGTCGTCCTCACCTCCGAAGACAAGCTCGGCACCACCGGCAAGCCAAACGGCTGGTTTCTAGTATGCAACACCAATTCTAGCTTCAATTGAATCAAATACCTCCATATCCCATTCCATCCTGACAATAGGACAATTCCCACAATGAACCCTCTACTAACCATACCATCCCAAAGTCCGAATTCGCCCATCCTTACGAAGTCCTCCACGACAAGGTCTCCCTAACCGTTGCCTCGCCAAAAGGCGGCGAAGCACCCCTAAGTCCATCCTCAATAAAGATGAGCGAGTCAGACCCGATATCGCAGAAGTTCCTGAAAGAACAAAGAGCCCTCTGGACGAACACGGAAAAGCTAGCCGATGTACTTCCGCGCGCCGGCGAGTTCGATGCCATTTTCTACGTCGGCGGTCATGGACGTGAGTTACCCATACCCATACCCATACTCCCGTCCTTCTTTCCCAGCTCCTAGCTATATACTTTTATCATCCCATCTATGCAAATAACATCCTCTAATGATATACACATCAGCAATGTTCGACCTAACCGAAAACCCCACCTCGCTTGCTCTAATCCAGGCCTTCGCTGCAGCCAATAAGCCCGTTGCTGCCGTCTGTCACGGTCCCTGCGTCCTGCTAAATGCGACGGCGCCCTCCGGCGTGCCGCTTATCTCTGGCGTTGGCGTGACTGGGTTCTCGAATAACGAGGAGGATGCGGTGGGTCTGTCGTCTGCTATGCCGTTTATGCTGGAGACGGAGCTGGGCCGGGTTACTGGTGGGAAGTATGTGAAGGCTGCGAAGCCTTGGGAGGAGATGGTTGTTATTGGGAAGGCGGCTGGGACGGGGTCGACGATTATTACGGGGCAGAATCCGGCGTCGGCGACGGGGGTTGGGAAGGCGATTTTGAAGGCTTTGGGGTTGTAGTTAGTTCGGGTTTGGAATTAGGATCTAGTATATGATTAAAATCAGTAGGATTAAGAGTCCATATTGTATGTTATTTCCTATTAGTGAATTAGTCTGGTTTGATTGTATGCTTGGAATAAGTAAGAGTTCCATATTACATTGATAGTACTTCAACTCAAAGGCACAAAGCGATTCATATTGGCAGCGAACCAGAATCAATAGCAGTAGCGAAAGGGGAATAGAGCAAGTGACAGACAAAAAAGCAGCCCAAATTCGATAGATGGGGGAAAAGGAAATAAGCCAAGGCAGGAGGATATTTGTCCAGTCGAATCGAATATCGACGGAGAAGAGGCAAGAAATCAAAGAAAAAAATAAACAGATGTCGCAACCAAATAAAGAATCCATCAATCGTATCGCAGTATTCGTCAGTCTGCTCATCTCCAGGATATGGAAATGGGGACCTTGGTCGGTCATCGGACCGCGCTCAAAGCAAACACGACCAATGTCTGGTCGGGAGAAGGGTATACGATTAACAAAGATACATCCTGGGTCATACTGAATAGAGAGCCAGAGGGAAATGGCAGGAATAATAAACAAAAGAAAACAGGTCCGGGAACGTCGCAGGCTAGCGCTTTTGACCGTCCTCCGCGTTGCCGGTCAACTCAGCCACTCGGGCCTTGATGCGGGCGACACGGGCCTCGATGGCTGTGGAAACAACTGTTAGTGTATGGTCAGTGTTGGGGATGAAGTTACTAACTCTCTTCTCCACTAGTATCTCCCTCGTCAGTGCGCTCGGACTGGCTAGTCCGGGTGTTGGCCTCGGTATCGTGGTCGTGCACCTGTTCCTCTTGGGCAGCAGTCCGCTGAGCAGCAGCCTCACGGATCGCCTTCCAGCGATCATGTGTAGCTTCAGGTGACTCAGGCGAACTGGCGACCTCATGGCGAACACCATTGCCGTTGGACGGGCTCTGGGGAACCTGGGACTTTTGCGCTACAGGTGTGACGTCCACGGGAGAATCTCCGGGGACGAAAGCAGGCTGGTCAGCCAGGGGGCCCTGGTCGAACTTGGAGAACTCCTGATCGGCTGCTTTAAGTTCGTGAGTAGCAACGCGCGAGAGAGCATCATACTCAATGGCGCGTCTGGTCTTGGGCGGCTCACCGTTCTGTTCCAGAGAAGCGGAGGCTTGAGCCGGGATTGAGGGGTTTGCCACTGGTTCCTTGGCGGTCGGTTGAACACACTGAGGCGAGGGCTTTTGCAATTTAGCCACGGACGCGGTACTCGGGAGAGGCTTCTTCTTCATGGGACCGGACTCCTGAGCTGCTTTCGCCCTGGCCTCGAGGGCCGCACGAGTAGCTGCCACAGTGGAGATTTCCTTAGAATCACCGGTCTTCACGAGAGGCTGTTGCTGTTCGGGCTTCTTTTTGGCACTAAACATGCTCTTAAATCCGGAATTGCCAGTCTTCTTCTTCAGCTTCTTGCCCCCCTCGTCCACAGAGTCCCGACGCTCAGTAGGTTGTTCAACAACGGCAGGCTTTGCGACGGGCTTCTTCTCTTCGGGAGTAGCGACATTAACAGCTTTAGTTGGCGCCTCCCTAGGAGAAGGGGGAAGAGGAGTGGACACAGCAGCAGCTGCAGCTTCTTTGGGAAGTGGCGGGGGAACACTCTTTGAAGTGTTGGTTGGAAGAGGTGCCAACGGCGCGGTAGACTTCTCCTCGGTGTCCTTCGAAATCGGCTCGGGTTTGTCCTCGGGTTCTTCACCAGTGCCAGCGCGGTTGTCATTGAGATATGCTGCCCTGAAGGCACCCTTATCGTAATTCTTAGTCCACTTCATGGCCTGGGATGCCTCGCTCACAATGGCAGGCTGAAGGGTCATGATGGAGTTGGTCTTGGAGTAACGGTTATCATTAGGGATTGCACGGTTCTCTTTCGCCTCCGCTTCTTGCTCGCGGTGCTTCTTTTGCAGAGCGGCCGCAGCTTCCTGGATCCGCTTGTGCTGATCCGGTCCGATGCTGGTCTTGCTTTGCGTTCCCTGGTTGTTGGGTCGCTTGTATGAGTCTTCAATAGAAGGCACCTTCTTCGCCAACGACTTGCGGCGATTGAGCTTTCCCCTGCGGCTGCCAAAGCTGAAGAATCGCTTCTTTTCGACAATCTGAGCACCGGCCTCAGGCTCTGGAGCAGCACCCTTGATCTGCTCTTCGAGGATCAGCCATTTGGTATCCCGGATTTTGGTCTCCAGGAGAGCGCATCGACCAAACACAGCCTTGCGTGCGGACGGCTCATCGCCAGATAAACTGCTGATCCAAACCCACCAGAACGAATCGTCCATGTCTAGGGAGGTGATGCTCGCCAACTCCGCAGGCTCGAGAGCCGGCTCGATATCCAAGGAGCGCTTGTGCGACTGAGAGCTCATGCCACGTGCAGAGGCAAGGGGGGGCAGAAACTTGTCAGGTGTCAGGAGCAGAGGGCCCACGTGGTCCTTCAATTTGTTTTCATCCGGGAATCCGGATGACATGAAGTCTGCCCACGATGGGGTGGTCGGACGGCCAAAGTCCCCTGTTCCAGATTGAGGAATGGAGCTCAAGCCCGCCCCAGATCCACTCCTTGCAGTCGCCGGCGAAGCAGTCTCGTTGGCTTCGTCCTCCGGGTCAGAGTCAATCGAACCACCGAACCCAATATCCTCGAAGCGAGACCAAGATGCATCCCGTAAACTTGTTGACTGCTTGGTACTCGAGACGCTGGATTGATTCGTAGATGAGATACATCTAAGAACACGGAGACACTCGTCGGTCAATGCATCAACTGGGTCTTCGTAGTTGGCAAATTCCTGCAGGTGCCAGTCGTCGTCGCGGTATTCAAAGTTCTTTGCGCGTCGCAACAAGGAGAATGGGGTCGGGGAGACATTCTCCACAATCATAATCACCTTTGTAGTCGTAACTTGCAACAAGGTCGGGGTTTCGGGAGGGTATTCGGTCGCTTCGACGAGTGAATGAAGAGAAATTGGCAGCGATGAGATGCCGCTCACGCCGCGAGGGACATCGGGAGACAACGAACGAAGGTAGGCGAAGAACAAGTGACTGGTAGCATCGGCAGCACTAGAGATTGTTAGAATACCATCCGAAACATCGGATCAATGAAGTCCATACACAGCCCAGTTCTTATAGGCGGCCTCGAAGCCATTGCCTGTATCGACATGCTCAAACGCCCACCAGCCAGCGTATCGGGAAAGCTTGCGACCTCCCAAGCCATTGGATTTCCCATGGGCCGCAATGGCAGCCAAAAGATCGAAGAAGTCCAGAATAATACTGGTGCGTGCATCGGAGTCGCCGCCGATCGGAATGAAAGTTGAGAAAGCGTCGCGGGCCATATCCGAATCTAATGTTGCATCAGCGCGTGTGTTCCCCGCATTCCAAAGAATATCGCATACCATTTTCGCCCATCTTGAAGGTTTCGTACGCCTCCCAAGTGACAACACCGCCAGGGAGTCTGCTCCAGCACCATTTCATCACACCGCAAAGGACCTATTCATAGGAATGAGATTAGTGACCCCCTAATAATCCCTGGGAAGACATTATCCCTCACCATCGGCTCCGTGAGCCGGAGTTCCTGCGACAAGTCATTTCCGTTAACGGGCGAGCCCTTTTCGAAAGACTGATTAAAGTAATTGCGAATGAACGTGCGAGCTGCGCTGGGGTCGGAGCTAGGACGGAACGGTAGGAGGAGGAATGGCGTGTGAAGAGCTGCAGCGACGAATGATCAGCAATCCGACGCACCATGCCATGTCCGTATCTCACGGTCGAGTTGGAAATCCACCACTTACCTCGGGCCTTGAGCTCATGCACGCACCCTCGTACAAGGTCTTGGACCTCTTCCGGGGCGACCTCTGTCCGCTGCCACGCATCAGTCCATTTAGGCTTCGCAGGGCCCGTGTTGAGCGCCGCGGTAGGTTTAGCCTGCTTCTTCGTCGCAGTGGAGTCCTTGCCCCGAAACACCCGAGAAAGGAAGGACATGTCGGAAGGTCGGCCACTGGCAATTGAATTTGCGCGTCAGAAAACGGACTGTGGGGAGAGATTAAGGGTCCGCTTTTTTGGGACTTCTGTTAATCGACAACAGATTAGTAGGGATTTCAAAAGACCACAATGCAGATAACCGACACGGCAATTCGACCGAGCGAATAGTTAAAACGTCTAGGCGTGTCCGGGATGTCCTGCAGCCCCGGTAACAGCAGGACAAAGTAAGAGAATCCCTGGTCTAGGATCTTATTTGTCTGTGCTTCTCAGAGTGGAAACCGCGCAAGAGACCTCAGGAAGAAAAGAAAAAGGAGAGGAAAGGAAAAGAGCGGAAGAAAGCAAAGTGTTGGGGGAGAAGGGAAAAAAAACGAAGCGATTCACAAGCTCAGGGGTAAACCAGAAACCAAACTACCAAACTAAACTTACCCGCGAATCTCGACTGCGTTAGATGCCCAGCTGCCACACAAAGAAGATTTTCGATTTAAATTTTGGGAACTTTGAAGGATAAAAAGAAATGATACAATGATTATCTGTTTGATCTGGGTTTAGGGGATCCAAGGTTGTGTATGGCTATTGACATGTTCTATTGGAGGACGGTCATTAGACGTGTCGATATGTCTTCAGCGTATATCTGCCCAATATGTCATGGACCAATCAGTGGGGGATGTAGGGACATACTTGACATATACTTCTACATATACTTCTACATATACATATGTAACCTTGAATGTTTACTTTGACGTTTACTTGAGAATAAGATCTGGCTCTCTTTATATATTGTAGGGAGATAGGGTTGGCGATATCACGGGGACATAAATAAGCTATGCTACGGGGTAAATAGCCTATGGAGATAGCCCTGAAAATGTAAATGTGACATTCTATAGATCATATTCCACCTCTATGTCATTATATATCTGTTGTATATATTGAGCTTGAGCTTCCCCGGGTTGACATCATAGCATAGACGGTAAACCCATCCAAGCTGAGAGCGAAGAATACTATCACAGCAACTTGTCTTGCCAATAGGATCCCAAGGACAAGACTCCACTGTCACAAGCCACAGGGACAAGACTAACTACAACGAGTTACCGTGTGCTCAGTCGACATATTCGCGCTGCGACTGCCAAAAGATAAATATAGAACCCGGCGCCTAAGGCCCTGCTGAGTCAGCCAGGAAATCTTCTCAGGCTCCCTCTCCCTCGATTCTATCTTTAGAATCAACCTTTCCTGCATCGTCAATCATCCTTTCTCCGCAGCTTCCATCATTTACTTCGTGTTTGTCTTTTTATTTGTTCCTTTGTTTCCTACCCTTCCATCTCCTCGGGTTCAACTTCTTTTTGAACTTCGGGGGGTGTTTTCAAGTCGCGTCCATACCCCCTCTTCCAGTATCTACAGGGTTTCTTACATGGAAAACAAACTGGTTTCTGGTTTCAGATCCCTTTGTTGACTAGTCACACCGTTCTTCGGATCTTCTCATTCGGAAGAAACCGAGATTCTTCACGTACACATCCACCCCGTGCGGCACCGGCTAGAATCGCCATCGCGTCGATTCTGTATCTTGGGTAATTAAATATAGTCGCGAGGTATCTCGCAAGTCGCCCCGCGGCTGCTTGTACCTTTATTCTCAATCTTGCTACCGGTGCGCGATTGGTGCACCCTAGCCATCCATCATGGGTCGCAGGAAGATTGAGATCAAGGCCATCAAAGATGACCGCAACCGCTCAGTGTAAGTTAATCATCCCAGTCAGCCGTTCCAGTCGCTGATCAAAGCTTCTTCGGCTATAGCACGTTCCTGAAACGAAAGGGGGGTCTGTTCAAGAAGGCTCATGAGCTTGCTGTCCTTTGCTCCGTCGACGTAGCTGTCATTATTTTTGGCCACAACAAGAAACTATACGAGTACTCATCATGCGACATGCACGAGGCTCTTGGTCGCTATCAATATGTGAGTAGATGTCTCTTCGATTCATCCCGACAATCTCTAACTAATCATCTCAGTTCGGTCCTCCCCACGAGCATAAAGGTCCGGAAGATTTCGCGGGTAAGCGAGATGACGATGACGAGGAATATGAGGCCTCGCCGGCTCCCGACGAGATTCAAGCAGTTCAGAACCACCCCGCCATTCCCCCTCACCTCCAAAACCAGCCCGCCTTCCAGCACATGAACCATGCACCCTCCGCGTCACCCCCGATCCATCATGCCATGACCCGCCATGGCACCCCGCAACCGCAAGGCACTTCCCGTCCCTCTTCAAGAAATCATATCCGTCGAGTCAGTTCAAACCTAGGCCCCCAGCAACATGGGACACCTCCCCCGCCAGCACCCCCTGGCCCCCAAAATGGCGGGTTCACGTACATGCCCAATCCCTCCATGTACAACCCGAATGTTCATGTAATGAACCAACAACCTCGACCGGGACAGTTTGCGCACTACGGACACCCACCTGGACAACACCAAGGGACGCCTCCTATGCACCCGCATGGTTTACCGCCACAGCAAATGCCGCCACAGCACCAGGGCCAACACCAGAGCCAACAGCACCAAGCACAGCACCAGGCACAACAGCATCAGGCACAACAACAGGCAGCACAACAGGCACAGCACCAGGCGCAGCAACAGGCTCAACAGCAGGCGCAACAGCAGGCGCAGCAACAGGCACAGCACCAGAGCCAACAGCATCAGGCCCAACAGCATTTCCAACAGCACGGCCATGCAGGAATGCCTCCGGGGCCCCACCAGCATATGCAAGCATATATGCCGGAACATGGGAGAAATTCGATGCCTCCAGGGTTCGCGCCTGATGGTCACCAAGAACGGCCTGCCTCGGAGCATCCCCAAGATGATTCTTCGGGAGCAATGAAACCAGAGCACAGCCAGTCGCCACCTCAAATGAAGTCGTTATCAAAATCACGGAGTATTTTCACCCCTATTGATGATCGAGATTCTGTGCTCGCCCGCCACTTTGGAGCTGGAGCGGGGTCATATGAGTCTCACAATAACCACTCTCTCAAGGTCGACCCACAAGCTTCCCTTGGTACCAAGTCAATGCCTGTCAGAGCTGCCACAGAAGCTCCTCGTGCAGGGCCAGTTGCTTCGACGCAAAGAAGCAAACCACCATCCCGAACTAACAGTGGACCGTTGCCATCAAAACGACCACAGTTGAAAGTGCAGATTCCCAGTGAAACCTCCGATGGTGGCAGTGCCACGGCCGACTCATCACGCGATTCCGCTGGGAATAGAACCTCCACGCCTGTGAAAGGAGGTGCCGAAAACGGGCCCCCGGGCGTGGTCTTACCCCCTCCGTCGCCTTCCGCTGGTGCAATACTGAGTGCGGGAGCCCAGGGGCCTCCAAATCCGTTCGCGCGCCCGCCTCCTCCTGTTTCAACCACGCGAAACGACTCTTACAGCAGCAGCAGCGGAAACCCGAACAATGGGAATAACTCAAATAACATCGAAACGCCCATATCCGCCTTGCCGAGTCGCTTTGTATCCGATGCACTCCTCCCGTCGCCTTCCAGCTTCTTCCCCGAATGGGGCTTTGGCCGGTCAGGCCCAGATTCCAACATGCTGCCCAGTCCCCTCACCTTCCCGACTCCGGCAGTACAAAGCGGTCCCGGCTTCTCTCGAGAAGACGAACAAGACAAGAAGAGAAAATCCCCAGACGATGGATCCGCAGGGGAAGGTGCATATAAAAAGCCGAGAACCTGATGAAACTTGGCTCTCCTCGGGGAGTTGTTCCCATACTGTAAAGTGCTGGCATTTTGACCAAGAGACTGTCCTTGTGGACATACAATCTCACTTTCTCAATACCCCATAACACCTTTTGCCCCGGGGGCATTTGAATGTCTTCGTTTCTAGTTCGATCAAGCTTGCAGTTATGTATCCTCTCTATACCCCGGTTTTGTCATCCCTTCATTTTTCGCCATTTTCCTTCTGTCTTATCCCTTTTCAGTGATGTTTCTCGCGTGGATCTAAAGTGATATACACCATTGCTGTCTTGTCTCATCTTTACCTTCATTTATTTCTTATCTTCTGATTTTTTAATCTTGCGTTTTAGTAGAGACCTGGTGTCGAGTCCGTTTTGACTGCTTTTGACTCTTGGATGATGTATATAAAGCAGGTTCTTGTTTCTAGGAATGATGCCAATCTTTTTCTGCCTGCCTATATCGATTCCTGCCTTTCTAGACTATTAAGCAGTAAACTGACCATTTACCTGATTGAGGGTTAAACCCGCGATCGGAGAAGACCCCAGAAGGACTCCGAGTATAAAAGCCGCCACCAACCCCGCTTTTTGCACTTCGATTCCACCAAGGTGTTTCGTCACGCATACTAAGTATATCCTGCATCCAACATGACTTTAACTGGAAGCTGCATGTGCGGCGGTATTGCTTACACCGTTGAAGGTATATCAACTGATCGAAACCACATCCAAAGCTAACAACATCCTAGCCGACACGTATGTGTCCGCCCTGTGCCACTGCACCGACTGCCAGAAGGTGAAACCCAAGACTTATACATATATGCTAATGGGCCTTAAACATAATATCTAATACCAAATAGTGGTCTGGCGGTGCATTTACCTCCAACGCAGTCGTTCCCCGCGCCAGCTTCAAAGTGACAAAGGGTAACTACATCTACACCTCGCACCGCGATCACAATCACACCCACAATCCGCTTGTCAGTTGCTGACTCCACATTTCTTTCTGCATAGGTACCCCCAATTCCTACGATGGGATCGGAAACAGTGGAAAGATCAACAAGCACTTTTTCTGCCCGACCTGCGGCTCAAGTCTCTACACAGAACTGGAGATCATGCCCGATACGACTTGCATCAAGGCTGGGACCCTGGACGGTGGAGAGGCTAATCTTAAGGGAAAGGTTGATGTCGAGTTCTATGTCAAGGACCGTCCGGCTTATCTCGTTGCTGTTGAGGGCGCTAAGCAGGAGCAATTGCTTGGTTGAGTGGTCTTGCTTATAGTTAGCATTTGACATGGAAAGTCAAGGGAAATGATAAAAATTGGTTTGTATTCGAGAAGAATCAATTCAAACTTTTGAGACTGTATAAAAGTCCCCAATGTTTGTTCCACCGTCTGGTATCCTGAGGGCCATTTAAACCCCCAAATTCCTAATTCTACCCTCGTCTTCATCATCGTCCACTTTGATTCCTGATCCAAAACCATCCATCATGTCCCTCCACATCATTCTACGAGGTCATTCCACCGCACGTCGCTTCCCAGAACGAGCCACAGTCCACCTGACCATATAATCAACAGGCGAGTCAGAAGCGACGGTCTCGAAAGAGGTCACCAAGACCTTCAACGGCCTGAAAGAAAGCCTCGGAACGGCAATAGCCGATACCAGCCCTATCGACATCGCATCCCAAAACCCCACCGCATACGACCGAATGGGAAACAATATTGATGAACCCCACGTGTGCGCCACCGTCAAGATCAACGCTATCTTCCTTGACTTGTCAAGTCGTGCAAGGAGGCTGTGCGCGATGCTGTCACGAAGGCGAATCAGTATGCGAGAGCTGTTTCCTGTGAGCATGTTACACCTATGCATATCGTGAATATCAGGGAAATTGAATCTGAGCCCTGGATCCTTCGGCGTATCCGCAGATGCCTGCCTACCGTCACTCCAGTGGCGTGAATTTGACGCCTCAAAATGTCGTGCTCAGCTGTGCTGTGGAGGTTACTTTAAAACTGTGAAGACGTGTGATACATACTTCTGATTGAGCAATACTTCTTGGGTTTCGAGGTTTGATGTACGGGGGCTAGAGCGTCGTGCTAGGCAATCAATGCTAACAGATAGAATGGGCTTGAATTCTGTGTTGTCTGCGCTTGATTATGAATTTGAGACGCATATTTCAATCTTAATATCAGCTTCAACTGTCGTCTTTCTCGAAATATTCATGGACTGTAGTTCGGTGTTCGGCTTTTGATGTGGGGATGATGATATCTTCACGTCGAAGCTTGGCATTTGACGTCAAGAAAGGCAAAAACCATTGGACCTCGGGAATGGGTTTGATAAGGTTGTGCTAGAAAAATAAACTAGAGTATTTATGCCTTCCTGTTGTGAAGATCAATATAGAAGGCTGAAATGCCCTGGATGATATCTTTACCTGTCACCGCCCAAGCCCTTCGGATATGACAGTTCATATCTCTCTCCGCATGGAGATAACCCAGACTTGCCATTTGCGGCAGCCGCTAGTAACCGATATCTAAGGACCTGCCTCATGACCAATTTCTTCCAACTCATTCTCTTCACTCACTCATTTGGCCTCGTACTTCCTCGTACTTCATCTCTGTGAAAACTCTTTCGCGACCTCTAAAATGGCCCAATCGGTTCTCTCCCGTCGGGCACAAGATGTCGTCGACGCCGGATCCGATAACCCCATGTGGGACGTGATGAAGGACGCGTGGGACGCGTCAACAAACCCCAACGGTTATGTCAACGTGGGCGTAGCCGAAAACACACTAATGCACGACGAGCTCCTCAAATTCATCAACAAGAAGCTCGAGCTGCCAGCCAAGTACCTCACCTACAACGATGGCGGATCTGGCTCTTCCAGACTGAAGGCAGCCATCGCCGCGTTCTTGAACCGCCATCTAAAGCCAGTCACGCCCCTAGAGCCGAGCCACATCATAGCCACCAACGGTGTCTCGTCTGCGGTCGAGCATGTTGCATGGTCATTCGCAGATCCCGGCGAGGGCATCCTTCTAGGAAGACCGTACTACGGCATGTTCATCCCCGACATCTCACTGCGTTCGCGTAGTCCCGTGGTTCCTGTCAGTTTCGGAGAACATGACCCTCTCAGCATCGAAAGCGTGGATAAGTACGAAGAAGCATTGCTGGAGTTTCACCGAACAACTGGTAAGAAAGTCAAGGCTTTGATGCTTGCGCATCCGCACAACCCGCTTGGACGCTGCTATCCCAAAGAAGTGCTCGTCAAGCTGATGCGGCTCTGTCAGAAATACCAGGTCCATTTCGTCAGCGATGAAATCTATGCGCTTTCGGTCTTTGAGAATACCGTCGACAAATATCCACCACCTGTCAAATTCGAATCCGCCCTCTCCATCGACCTGACTGGCATTATCGACCCCCGTTTGGTTCATGTCCTCTGGGGTATGAGCAAAGATTTTGGCGCGAACGGTATCCGACTCGGTGTCATCATTTCCCAGGCCAACCGTGATTTCCATATGGCGATGACGGGCCCATCGCTTTATTCTTTTGCTTCTGGGATCACGGATCACCTGACCTCTCTTCTGCTTGAAGACTTCAACTTCACCGACCGGTATATTCAGCAAAATCAGAAGCTGCTGTCGGAATCCTATGCGTACACAGCGAACTACCTGAAAGACCACGGAATCGAATATGCGACAGGATGCAATGCTGCGTTCTTCGTCTGGATGAACCTGGGAAAGAGATACCGCGAGCTTCACCCGGAGAATGAGTGCGAGAACGTTGGGGAACAAGTCATGCAACACCTTTTGCAAAAGAAGGTCTTTTTGGCCAGCGGTTTTCTTTTTGGATCTGAGAAGGATGGGTGGTTTCGACTTGTGTTTACACAGGGCCATGAATTTTTGACCTTGGCTTTGAAAAGGATAGTCGCAGCACTTGAGGGATAGAACAGTCTGTCTCATGTCGTCGCCACGAAACAGCCATGCATCAGTTTGATTTGGCTTGTTGATTTGCGTGCTAGATCAAGCCACGGCGCCTTTCTTAGTTAGCATCTCCATAATCTCTGTGTGGCCTTGTTTGATCGCATCGAGCGCCGTGCCATCAAGTTTCCCTTTCCTCGTGGCGTCGGCCCTATGATAGCAATGCAACGAATTTCTGATAACCTTGCTGATCTTTCAACAGTCTTTCGATACTGAGTCGCTTCTCATATCCTCTTTGATTATTTCGAAGATAACATAGAGCTATAAGTAGGTGCAGTTTTCCATGTTTTTGAGACGTTGGAGATCTCAGGCTGATCCTCAGGGGTGAAATTGCCCCAGGAGAGGAAGCCGCTATTGTTTCTTCTCTCGGGCTCTCAACAGTTCCACAATACCTTCGACAAACTTCAGCTTAAGACATCTATTTTGGGGGTGATAGTAGAGATGAGAAGACGGAGTAGGTGGCTTACACTCAACAAACACGTCCTAAAGCTAACCTCATCTTCGGACCCAATGATTGGCCTAGGACTAGCGCCTGACACGTACCCCTGTCAAGATTGAGGACATCACTCGAATGTAAGTTGTAACCACATTGGGATAAGCAAATTTCAAGACATCTCCGTAGCCTTTCTGTGATGATAATTTTGATCCATCCCATCCGGTATAGTCAGGTGTTTTCAATTCACTCCGTCGTTTCCTATAATATAACCTAGGCCTAAACTCATTATCCCGATTAGATATAGTGATTACTAGGATAAAAAGCCAGTATTAACTTTAAAGCATATAAGCTCAATCCTCGAAACCATAACTGGTTTAACGATAAATGTTCTCTAGCCTATTTGCGGATATTTGCCGTAAGAGAGCGAATAGGGCCATTCCCTTTTTCCCACGTTGCCTTCATGGATAAGACATGCCTCGAAATACCGCCTAACCGACTAGAGGTAATCCCTACACAAAGTCGACGTGTCGGTTCGTTTGAGAGAGTCGCTGACCCGGCAAATCTTCTTTCATTATCGCCGTCGTCGTTTGCGATTCCCATTCCGCTGAAGTCGTACACTCTCTCGTCTGTTGCGGTTGCTGAGGAAGCGACAGCGTCGAAGTTTGCTTGTCTAGTTCTCTCCGTCGGTTTTCCCCTTACTTGTTGGGTTTTGTTCTCGTGGAATTGTGGGGACCACCATATCCAACATCGGAAGATGGATGAAGGAAATCTCCAGTGGAGATGGGTGAATGGGGAAGAAGAAAATATGGAGAGGGTCTTTGGTCTATATGGTTAACGGCGTCTGGAGTCGAAGGTGGGGTCTTTGTAAGTGAGAGTAATGTGAGAGAAGTCGAAGAATGGTTCAATATGCTACATGCAGTTGTAGCCATAGTATCACGAAAGCCTTTAGCAACTGAGATAAGCTCTTGTCAAGTAAAATATAATCGTCAAGCTCTGAGATGTCCAGACCGGCGGAGCTGCGAACAGTTAGGGGCCATTCCAATGGACCAGTTTTTGAAGCAGTTGTTAACGATGAAGTATACTGATAAGAAGCTGGGCTTTCTGATAGCCCTGCGGGGATTGCGGCGTGAAGATAGCATAGCCGAAAGAGGGAAGAAAAGTATGAATTAAGGCATTTCGTCCCCGGGACGCCAAGCTTTTCCACCCGTGGATCATCCAAGGCTAATTGAACGTAATATGGAAAACTCAAAACATCCCTTCCTTTTCCCATAAATCATCACAACAATGGAAAGTGCTACCGCCTCACAATTACAGAGCTTTAATGCCCTCCAGCGCCCGGAGCGGGACGCATCCGGCAGACGCAACCACTACCATTTCGCCGTAAAGGCTCTCCCCGGCGTCTCAGGCGAAGCCGTATTCTCCGCGAATCCATACAACAACCACCACGATTGCGAGGGCCGATCCAGAATCTCCCCTCTCTCACCAGACGAGCAGGCCAAAATTATCGTCCCTTTGCTACTAGAGGCATTCGTCAACCGATTCGACGAGCAGGGCATAATCCCCCAGATGGGCAGCAATATGGAACCATTCGCGCCGTTTACTTGGAGCACCACTGACGAGAGCCTTGCGCAGGCTGTGTCCCGTAGATGTCGGGCAATTGGCGTCAGATCTGATCTGTGTGAGGTTGCTGTCACTACCGCGGAAGAACTTCGCAGTGCTGAGGCGTGCTGGATGAAGTGGAGCAGAGCTTTGGTGGATGCAATGGCCTTGTATGATCTCCCGGATGATGGAGTCGATATGTTGAGATGAGCTGTCTGAATTGTGGTTTTACATAAGCCCCTGTATACGTTTTCGAGGTACGTGCAAGTCTCGTATTGCTCGAGTGAGTGTCAAGCCGCGAACGCTGAGTCTCATGGCCGAGAATGCGTGCTATTGATTGGTTTTCGAAACTCCTTACCCTTTTTTTCTCTTAATATGTCTTTACGATATTCGCCCGATGTCACAGGCTTTGATGGTGACGGCCATTTTCTACTTTATCTCATCATGTCAATCTTCTAGATATTTGAAAGATAAACAACTCTTCAAAATCAAGATTTGAGTCTCTTGTGTGGATCAGAAATGATACCACGATGCAGGGTAAACTAGGGTTGGCACCGCACGTGACCGCCACACAAATCAAAGATCCAAGGATTTTGAGGCTATTACAAGATTACATGTAACTATTTAGATGGAGAGTAAATATTAATATGAAATATTCATTTTTTATTTCTTGTCATCATATGAATATCATTATCATGTCTCAAGAACAATTCCCATAATGGGCCCGAGAACTAAACTCAACTCCCTGTGCAGGGAGGACGTAAATGCAAAGAGTACTTTTGTACCGCCTCTGGGGAAAAATAAAGCCGCTTAAAGAACAGGGAAAAAATAACGGAGAGGTATCACGTAGAACGCCGAAGGGTATGCAGCCGAAGGATTCAAAAGGACAGATCAAACAGGAGTCAACTGGGTGTGCAAAGCCTGCGAGAGAGCCTCCTCTTGACGCTTGCGCTCCATCTCCATCAAGTACTGGGCGTACTTGGACCGAGGGTTGTGGATACCACACTCAGTCTTCTGCTGTCCCTTCCAGCGACCAGCGCGCTCGTCCTCTCCATCGGCAACGGGCTGGGTGGAGTGCCAGTCACCAATGCTCTTGTAACCACGGTCAAGGAGCTCGTTGTAGGGCACATCGTTCTCCTGCACGTACTGCTTGACCTGAGCAAAGGACCAGTTGGCCATTGGGTTGATCTTGATGAGGCCGGCCTCGTCGACTTCGATGATGTCGAGGTCACCACGCTTGCCGCCTTGGCTGCGACGGCGACCAGTAAGAACGGCGTGGACATTCATCTCACGGTAGGCACGTTGGGCAGGCTCAACCTTGGCGACCCAGTCGTAGAGTTGGTCGTCGACTTCCCAGAGCTTGGCACCGTACTTGGCTTCGAATTCGGCAGTGGTGTCGACGCCAGCGGGCTTGTAGATGTGCACATTGTTGTTGGGGTACTTGCGGCGCACACGGTCGACCAGGGCCATGGTCTCATCGAAGTGATAAAGAGTGTCGAGGAAGATGAGATCAACCATCTGGGGACGTGGCACCTCCAGCTTCGACAACATGTCCAAGGTGACGAGACCTGTGAGACCAAAGGCAGTGGTCTGGAAGAGATGAGGAAGTGAAGTAATGCACCATCTCAAGATCTCTGTAAGGAAGAGTCAGATGAAGGGTCTTCAGAAAGAGGGGTCAATGGATATCAAGTACGAACCTTGAGGCTCGAGGAACTGCAACTGGCGGTTGAGGAACTGAAGATGGGGCTTGGTGAAGACAATCTCGGGGACATAGTCCTCGCTAGAACCAGAACCAGCACTGACATAACCAGACTCAGTCATGTTATCATGGCTGTCAATGCCCTCCATCTCAGAGGAGTAGTTGGTGGGCATCTTAGCTGGCATAATGTAAGATGGGGTGGCACTGTGATGACGTTGGTAGTGAATGGATGGTTGAAAATAGAATTGAATGTGCGGAGAGGTAGGAGAGTAAGAAGAACAAAGTCACAGATGACAATGAGAGACGAGAATATAAGAACAGCAGGGGCAATCACATCATCCGGAGATCCGTCCCTAACATAGTCTTCATCGGATATTCTTCATTTCAAACCTCCATGAATGCCATTGGCCAATGGACAGAGTGGGGACTGAAAAGACCCCAAGCACGCCATCGCCATCGATTGCGTGCTCGAATATTTTGATCTCACCGCCTTCCTAGATGGAAGAGAGGGTCATTCTCTGAAGGCGGTGGCGCCATGGGAGACGTTGTATGGCCAGACCCACGATATCGGAGACGGTTCTGCCCATGTTCTATAGAATGGCGTAGATGGTTGCTTATTGATTCCAACGACCTCGGGAAGCCATGGAGGTAACCTCCCGGATATTGGTAATTGACGATGACCAACCCAGTCGATGATACCTATGACTGAAAGTATTCTTCCAAGGTTTGGATCTTCCTAATCATATAATGTTAGCAGGTTTCTTGAATCGCCAATAACCTGAGCATACCGGATAGTTAGGAGAATCGTGATTATACTATGTACGGAGTATAGAGTACGTATTTTGGGCAGTATATTGTATCCATAAATAGATAGATCTGACTCTGAAGTCATCTCCTGAAGTCATGGTGGATCTGACGGGGTGCTTATACCCAAAATTGAGCTCATCTTATTCCTGGAGGTGGTCCATTTCTATCACCTCATTGACAATTATTCTGCCAAGCGGTAGCTCACGTGAGAGGGGAACATCAGTCACGTGTGTATTGGTGGGACCGAGTCCCACGTGCCGATCCGGCGCAAGTCGTTTTTGACTTCGGAAGTGTGGGATCTGTCAAGATAGCTTCCACTCGCGAATAACTCTGTACCAGATCGCTTCACTAGTAGTACATTATGGCAGATTCTACCCGTACCAGGCCGTCCCTCGGCCAAATGCGCAGCAGTTCATTCCTGCAGGACCACCAGCAGTACAAACCGATGGCTCCAATCACTCCAATCAGTCAAACCATCGGTGAGGTTCTGGCTAACCAGGTGAACGATCGCCTGATACTTAGCTCGAATCCAATCAAGCCAGATCCGGATAGGGTCACCGACAGCGGCATCATTCATAGCATCTTCAACCACCAAGAAAACCCTCTTCCAACCGGCACGTCGCAAATCGTCGCGACCATCTACTACAAATCAAACCACCCCATTCACCCCCACTACCATCCCGATTTAGGGCCCCAGAATAGTCCAGGCGACAAGATCCCAGCTCCCGAGGTGCCCAAAGGCTCTGCCCCGACACAAGACATGGACAAATTCCCACGGGAGCCGCCTGCCCTAGAGCCGGAGCCACTGGATCACCTGTACGGGCCATACGTCTCTCAGCTGTGCCTGACCAACTTCCTTCAGATCTTGGAAACCCTCCCCACGCCCTATCAGCGCATGAACACCTCGCACCGCTGTCTTGACCGCGACGAACACCCCCGCGTCGTGGAGGTCACATTCTCTCCTCCGCCAAACCCGGACTATCTTTCCTTCCCGGATCTGCGCAAGCATGAAAGCATCTGGCGCTTTGAGCGCGAGTGGAACGTCGAGGTTGTTCTGCAAAAGGAGACCGTCTTCCGTCGACACAAGCGCCTGGCAGTGTTTGACATGGATAGCACCTTGATTGAAAATGAGTGCATTGACGAAATTGCCAAGTTTATTGGTGTCGAGAAGGAGGTTTCCGTAAGTCCTTCTTGACATACTTCAATTCTCTATGCCAGCGACTAACATCACCGCAGGCAATCACTGAACGCGCCATGAACGGCGAACTAGATTTCACCGCGTCACTGAAGGAACGCGTCAGTCTTCTCAACGGCGTCTCCGCAGACGTCTTCGAGAAGCTCAAGTCTATCCTGACAATCGCCAAGGGCGCCCGTGAGCTCTGCCGCGCATTGAAGACTCTGGGCTTCACGATCGCAGTGGTGAGCGGCGGGTTCCAGCCCCTGGCCGCATGGCTCGCCGAGCAGCTCGGTATCGACATTGCCATTGCTAATCACGTAAGGCTCTCCTGTTTCCTACTATCTCCATTTCGTCCGATCTGACAATTCATCTAGCTCGAAATCGACGAGGCCACCCAAACCCTGACCGGCAAATTGGTGCCGTCCTACCCTATCGTCGACGCCGAGCACAAGCGCGCTCTGCTCAAGTCCATCGCCGCCGAGCACGGCATCCCCCTCTCGCAAACCCTAGCCGTCGGCGACGGCGCCAATGATCTCCTCATGCTCCACACTGCAGGCCTCGGCGTCGCCTGGCGCGCTAAGTCCAAGGTCCAGTTGGAAGCTCCCGTCCGCATCAACGGCGAGAGCCTTGTCGATATCCTCTACCTGCTCGGCATGGACAACGAGGACATCGCGGAGCTGACCTCCGACGTGCAATAAGTCCTTGAGTAGTTAAATAGGCAACACGCCGTTTTCAGTAGAGTATACACTACGTGTGCTGGCGAATCTTGCCCTGATATAACTTTTTTTTGGATAAACTATACCCCTCGAAAAGTCTAGCCTGAATCGGCGCTCATAGCTGGTTGCCGGGCTGGACTTGGAGATTTTCTTGTGTCCGAGAGTTGTGGAGTTTATGTCGGTCCTTGCCTTTAGCAGAGTCTGTGGCCGACGTGGATAAAACATATGTAGTACGGAGTATGGAATCCTTGTATAGCGTATGCATTTTAGCGCGGTTTCTACGTGCGGCGGGTGGCGGCGGGATGTAGTGGGTTAGGAACGGAGCAGGCCCACATTTTGAGATTTGATATAAGAAAAGCATCACTGGGTTGTTTTCCGTACGGCTTGAAATTAGGAATAGACAGAAATAGGCCACTAATGACTTTTCCAATGTTCATATAAAGTACAATTCCTGTGTTAAAATGTTGAACTGTTGAAAATGACAAATCCCTCTATAAAACCCCGAAACCAACAACCCAGAAGATGCAAGAAAGACAACGCCAAAGGTTAAATGACATATATGTGGCCAGAAGAGAAGAAAACAAGATTCCCAGAGTAGTTGAATCGATTTGTTCAGATGCAAACCATCTCACTGGGTAGCCTCGTCAGTGATAGCAGCGCTCTTATCAACAGTGCGCTCAGCGTTGCCAGGGGCAGCACGACGCTTCTTGAGAACGTTCTCGATGAACGCCTCGCCAGCCTTATAACTGCTTCGCACCAAGGGGCCCGAGGCACAGTACAAGAAGCCCATATCAAGGGCACGCTGGCGCCA